GCACTCCAGGTGTGGCCTCACCAATGCTGAGTACAGGGGAAGAATCACTTCCCTGGATCTGCTGGCCACACTGTTCCTGATCCAGGCCAGGATGCCATTGGCCTTCTTGGCCACCTGGGCACACTGCTGGCTCATGTTCAGCTTCCTGTCAATCCAAACTCCCAGGTCTCTTTCTGTCTGGCTGCTCTCCAGCCACTCTGTCCCCAGCCTGTAGCACTGCAGGGGGTTGTTGTGGGCAAAGTGGAGGACCTGGGACATGGCCTTGTTGAACCTCATCCCGTTGGAATCAGCCCACCTCTCCAGTCTGTCCAGGTCCCTCTGCAGAGCCCTCCTACCTTCCAGCAGATCAACACTCCCTGTCAACTTGATGTCATCTGCAAATTTGCTGATGGTGGACTCAATCCCCTCATCCAGATAGTCAGTAAAGATATTAAATAGAACTGGGCCCAACACTGATCCCTGTGAGGCACCACTAGTGCTTAAACTCTGGCTTAGACCATGTATGTGCTCAGGATAACAAATATATTACGCAGGATGCAGCTATATAACTGTGTTTCATGTAGATTTAATTCAGTGTGCTTACCTTCCTTAAACCTATCAATTAAAGAATGCACATTTTGTTCGTCTGAATTGGTTTACATTTTAGTGTTCGTGACACCTTTTGTCCTTTCTCTGGTAAGAAACTGTGACAGTTTCTAATCATAAAGGGAGATGCTGCCATTATTTTTTTTGGCATTATTTATTGAAGAGTTCCTTAAGCAAAAATCAAACTTAGAGTTCTTCATGGCTTGAACAAAGGAAACATTTTTTCTCCAGTTTCCTCCCTATTGGTCTCCTGCTGGCATAACTAAGTGCCTTTCTGAATGATCAGGGACTTCTTTGATTCACGTGTCTTTTTGAAGTTTTTATTTTGTTTTGCTGGATTTCAATTTATTGCAAGATCCTTATTCAGGTGGAGCCCTTTAAAAGGAAGGGAAGATGCTCTTTGGCCTTCTTTGGACAGCTTAATCAACCTTGGAAGCTAATCTCTTCCTTTTTCTCTGCATCTAGTTATTTAAAAGTTTGATTTGCCAATGAGACAAAACAAAACCAAAAAAAACCCCTCACTGGTCAGGCTGAAAATCAGCATTTCCTGAGGGTGCTGTTCATGTACACAAGGTTCAGATTTTTCCCTTTGAGCCAAGCTCCCAGCTTGACTTCCATAGCCCATCTAACTGATGAGACATCGTGGCACCTTGCAATCAGTGGAACATGGCTTCTGTGAGAAATATGGAACAACACAGGATATGACTGATATTTCTCTTGAAGTTGTACCAATGTCAGGTCCCAACTATATCTCTATTGGCCTGTTGACCTGCTTTTTCCCCCACAGTAATCAACACTTTATTTCAGCAGCAGAGGTCTTCCATCCATATATTTCACCATTTTTGTCTAGATTTTCTTTGCATTTCTGTGAAAACCCACTATACAGATCTATATACATTTTACAACTTGAGATTAAAATCTAAGCAAAATTTGATTAAATCCTCGCATCCCATTGTGTGACCTCACAAGAGCAATTCAGAATTTCCAGAGTTAGTATTCTGGAATTTTTCTGGAATTTCCAGAACAAGGATTCTGGAAATGCCTCGTTTGTTTTCACCGAATATAAGAACACAATTTTCATGAAGGATTTTTTTTTTTTTTACAGCTTCAAATTAACAGTGTTTAAAAAAACAATTGCCCAAGGCCTTTGCTCATTTTGTGTGTACATACTGCAAGCAGCATTTGAACATACAGCTCATTCTAACACTGAACACATGATTATAGTAAAAGCAAATGCATTTGCAATGGAGCAAGGTATCTGGGAGCAGCCTAAGACTGCACTAAGGTTCCTGGACTGTACGAGTGTGTTGGCAAAGGGGTTTGTAGCCTCTCATGATGTCTGCCAGCTTTCCCTTGACTGCAGCTGTGTTACAGAACTTCTGCCTGCATTGACTCAGAGCCACTTGAACCACTTCCACTTCTTATTGCCCGTGTGGAGTGGGAAAAATAAACCAAAATCAGTGATGGAAAGCATTTTGCTTTGGATTTGCTGTATCTAAGATATCTACAAATAAAAGGAAACAGGGTTCAATTGTACTTTACAGAGCTTTTCTGGACTAACACTAACTTCTGTTTCAATGCAGTTCCCATCCCACCACTGATTTTTGTAAGAGTAAACTGTATGGACTTGGCTACCTGCTTCTGGATGTGTGACTTCATTGAAATGAAGGAGATGTCTTATGCCAGGAGTAGTGCCTTTTTTTTTTTTTTTCCTGTTGCACAGTATTTGCCAGCATGTGAAACGAGTTTTATCTTGTTAGCTGCCTTCTATGTAAAGAAATAGTTTTCTCAACAGGTAATTAATCTATTTGGAAACACCGTCATGGCTTGGTGTCAGCTGCAGTGTTTCTTCATGGTGACATTGGATCACAGGTTGCAAGGGAGGAGATTATCTTTTGGGAAAATAACCTGTGCCTGTATTTTCCTAATAGGATTCATGATTTCTGTGTAATTGGATGGTTTTATTTCACAAAGCATAAGCTACTGCTGGCATGCAAACTTCAGGTATCTCTGTCCTCTTTTGAACTTGATAACTCTGAAGCTTTCTGTTCTGCATTTCAGTTGTGCTTTGATTAAGACTTTGAAAGAACTGTTCTTTGATGGAATCTTGTATAAGGCCTCTCTCTTGAAGCAAGTTAAAACCTGTGCTTTAAAACATGGCATTTGCATGTTAATCAATACTGAGACACAGTGAATTAATCTGTGCATAGCCCTGAGGGGGTCTCCTTGGGAGATTACTTTCTGTTCCTTTAAGACCTTACACCTGCAAGGAATAGAAGCACAACAGTGGTGTGGAGTTTGTGGGTATGGATGGAAGCTCAAATCTGTGCTATACACCTGCGTATTTCCGTAAATACAGACAGGGAAATTCCTAAGCACCTCTGGAAGTGAATCATCTACTACACTGCACATAGGATTATTAACTTGGTTGGGATGAATGAGCAGCATTTGCATTCAGGAGCATATCAAGATGGACTTGATATCTTCCTCCTCTTGGTTCAGCACAACCCTCCCTGAATAAAAAATGATTGCATTTCTGTGCTTTAAGGTTTCTTCCAACCCACACCGTACTTCGATTCTGTGATTTCGGTAACAATATATATATATATATTTAATTGCTTTTAAGCCTTGCAGACCAGATGCAACAAAAAATCTGACTGTGCAGGCAGTTTTTAAACAAATACTGGTATCTCACCAAAGCATGTGGTTTTTAAACATGAGCTTTACAGAACTCTGGGGTGTAATGCTCAGCCAGTAAAGAATGAGGTGAAAAACCCAGCTTTCCATTTTCAGTACCATCATAAAATGAGTGCAAGTGTTTTTACACACAAAGTAAAGACCTATAAGGTGAAGATCGTGACCATTTTGTGCCTTTTTTACCTCCTCATGTACATCTTGCAGACCCCTGAATGACCCTAGCCCTGCCATGCTGTAAGAAGCTCTGCAGTCTGCTGCAGCAGACCTAAGGTTTTAAATTCACATATTTGATATGGCTTCAGGTACTGCGGAATGTAAAACTCTGAGACAAAACATTGGAGGAACTAAATCCAGATGTTACAGACTGGTGGAAACTGGTCATCCTCTTCTTACACATGCTCAAACTGATCAGCTGCTTGAATATGGGTGGAATTCCCAAACACTCTCCTCTGTTTTAAAGGATAGGTCAAATGTTGAATGAGCTTTTTCTTTCCTACCCGTATTAAGAGTAGCCAGTGCCTGCAGACCACAGAAGATGCCATCTAGGTTCATTTAATTCATGTCATTTCTGTGTGCACAACACACAGTGTCATTAAAACTTTGGGGTGTTTTCAGGTTGTTTGTTTGTTTTTCACTTTTTTTTCTTCTTTGTTATTCCATGAAATTTGCCATGTAGATGAAATTGGAAATTATCACTGTATTTTTAGGGATTTTTTTAGTGTTTTCTATTTCCTAGAAATGTTCAAAAAGTTGGAGAAAGAAAATCAGAGAGGTGAACCTGAGTTAGAACTTAATCTGGTCACTTCTTAAAAGATAATAAAAAGTGCTTTAAAAATAAATTAAACACGAAAGGAGGGCCAAGAGAAACTTCCATTCTTTATTGGACACAGCAGGGAATAGTCAACAAAGACGAGGTACTTAGCACCTTCCCTGCCCCAGTCTCCAACAGTGAGATGAGTTATCCTCAGGACAGCTGGCCTCCTGTGCTGGTAGGCAGGGACAAAGACCAGAACAGACTCCCTGAAATCCAGGAGGAGGTAATTAGTAACCTGCTGAGCCACTTAGGTGCTCACAAGTCTGTGGGACTGGATGGGGATCTATCCTAGGGTGATGAGGGAGCTGGTAGAAGAGTTTGCTTTAGGTTAGGTTGGACATTAGGAAGAATTTGTTCACGTAAAGGGTGATTAGACGTTGGAACGGGCTGCTCAGGGAAGTGGTGGTGTCACCGTCCCTGGAGGTGTTTAAGAAAAGACTGTACGTGTCACTCCGTGCCATGGTCTGGTTGACAAGGTGTAGTGTTCAGTTCAGGTTAGACTCGACCTCAGAAATCTTTTCCAACCTAAACTGATGCTGTGATTGCGTGGAAAGATCTCTGTGACAGACTCGCTGTCCCGGTCAGCTCGGTGCCCTCGTTGAGGTCGGGCCGGCACAGCAGGTCCGGGCTCAGGGCACCGGCAGGAGACCCCACACCTGCCCCCGGGCCAGGACACCACTGGGGGACTCCTGGAGGCCACATCGGAGGGGAGTGAGCCGGAGGAGCCCCTCGGGGGGCAAGGCGTGGCACAGGAGATGCCGGAGCCCCGCGGGATCCTGCTCGCTGCCGGTCTCGGAGAACCGGGGCGGGGGGATGAAGGAGGAGGAGGAGTCTCCGGCGGCACCCGGGAGGCTCTCGGAGAATGTCTCCGTCCCTCACCTCCTCCTGCCCCTTTGCCGCGCAGCCCTGGGCCGGGAAGAGCCGCCGTTCGGAGCATGGGGAGCTGCTGGCTGCGCCTCGCCGCGCTGCTCGCCCTGGGCACCCCGCCCAGCCTGGAGTACCAGGGTAGGGAAGGGCAGGAAGGGAAGGGGAGGGGACGGGGCAGCGGGGCCAGGAGCCCCCCGGGGGCGCGGGGAGCGGAGCCGTCTCTTCCCGCTGGGCCGGGGGGGGCGCGGTATGAAGTTCTGATACAGAAATATCATCCCAGAGGCACCGCTTTCCCCCGGAGTCAATGCTCACCTCCTTTTCCCGTGCCAGAATTTTGCAGCGGCATAAGCTCATACTTTCTCAGAATCTCCCTTCATGGTTCTTATTAGGAATATTAAAAGCCAAATGACCCGTTATGTTAGTAACATAAAAAAAAAATACACTAAGGTAGACAAAGCAATGAGTTACCAGTCCTGTTTCCTGACATGCTTTATTTCACACTCTAAAGTGCTCTTTGGGTTAAGGACAGTTTACAGAAGCTGAAGATATGGCCTTATACACAAAAGAAAGGTTGTTGTAAAACGATTTTCTAAAATATCTCTTGTAATGCTTCACTAAGCAATGTCTCTATGTGCCACGTGCATCTTTTCAGTACCTCCAGGGATGGTGACTCAACCTCTTTCTTGGGCAGCCTGTTCCAATGCTTTTGACAACCCTTTCCCCTAATGTCTATTTTAAACCTTCCCTGCCATGACCTGAGGCCGTTTTCTCTCATCCTATTGGTTTTTACCTGGAAGAAGAGACTGACCCACCCCTCACTACAACCTCCTTTCAGGTAGTGGAGAGCAATGAGGTCTCCCCTCAGCCTCCATCTCTCCAGGTTAAAAACCCCCAGCTTTTTATCCACAGTGCACAAAGTAGTAACATAGTTAAGGAAGTCAGGTTTTGAGCAGAACTGAGGGACAGCAGAAGTCTTGTTAAAACTTCATCTATCTTTTGTCTTCTCTGGCTTGGCAAACACGGACAAATTGTTTGTGACTTTTATGTAGCAATGGAAGTACTCTCCTATCAAAGCTTTTGCAGACTTAGTAACAATCAGGCAAAGGGGAGGATCGTATCCTAGAAATACAGAAAGTATCTTGCTCAACACCTGTTTTGCTCAACACACGTGTTGTGTGCAAATGTGGACATGTCATTGTAACCTATGCTCATTTAAGAATGCAGCTCTGCTTCCTCCCCTTTCTTTTCAGCTGACCAAGGCCCCTGGCCAGGAGAGCAAGTGCTGGGCTGTAAGTGTGGAGTTGGAGCTGTGGGGAGAAACTGAGAACAGCAGCCTCCACTGGGTGTAGGCTGTGGTGCTAAAGCAGAGGAGTACTTCATCAGATGTTTGATGTTGCATGTAAACATCTGTAGTCAATTTTGGGTGGGTTTAGCATTGAACAAGTGGTCTCTTTGAGGCTACTAAGATCACTTCAGGAGATACTTAAGTGTTTTGCTGAATGAGAATGGGCTTGAAGTCTAGTGTCAAGACATTTGGGATGGATTTGACAACCACAAACACAGGCAAAACTGATTCGGAAATGGTCTGATTTTGGTTTTGCACAAATGAGTGACTTTTGTGTATTTGAGTGTCCCCTTTAGTTGCCAGTTTGAACAATAAAAGTAAATGTGTCATCTTAATAATGAATTTCTCTTGTACAAGGACTTTTATTTTGTCAGGCTTACTGGCTTACTGTCATAGCTCCTCCTGCTTTCTCTGTCAGTTCTATGATGGGTTTATTCAGCACAGACTACTGAGCTCACAGTGACAGATGTCTGCTATGTGTTTTCCACTAAAATTCTTACAGTTTCTTTAAGAATCTGCACCCTAATACAGTGTACGTAAAGAGAAATATTTCCTACACATCCCATTTATACAGTTATAAAAATATTTGCTGTGCGTCCCATTTATACAGTTATAAAAATGTGGTGATATTTTGTGAATGAAGAATTCTTTTTTCCCCTAACATAAACAGGACAATCTAAGTTGTAGATTAAATGAAGTGTTACTTCATGCATTTTTCTTGCCATCTTCCAGAACAAAGTCTACAGCTGTTTTTTACAGGAAGCTGCTATACCCTGGGCCATGATGTGGGACATCTGCAAAGCAGCTCGTTCTTGTCATTCTTCCTCAAATACCCAGTTTCTGACCTGTGGTAATTTTAGCACTTCCAATGCAGAACAATGCTTTGTCCTTACATGGCTCAGTAGCCAATTTTGAGCGCATGTGAAGCAGAAACACTTTGATTTATGGCTGAGAAAATGGAGATGAAATGGTGATTTGCTCAGGGTCACTGGTGGGGTGGCACTAGTGGGGAATGAGGTGGCAGGTCAGGCCTGGTGGCTGCCAGGAGAGCAGCTGTCTGCTGACACAGGATGGCTTTGTTGGAGGGCTGCTGTGTAACTCAGGTGTACAGCCTGGTGTGGGTGGGTGAATTTGGAGAGAGGTAGGGGACAGAGTGCCAGGTCCGGTGTGTGTCCAGTGCCAGAGTGAAGAAGGTCGTGTGGAGACAGAAGAGAATCTGGCACCTCTGGGCGAGGTGGTGCTGCTGTGCCCAGGGCAGTGATGTGGTTGTGGTGTAGATACGTCCTACCAGAACCATCCCAGCTCTTCAGGGACAGCCCTTGGGGTTAGACTGGTTCTTCATGGCATGGTCCAAGGCTGGTGGGTGATGCCCAAACTGTCCTTAGTGCTCCCAGTTTGTTCAGGTTCTGCTCTGTGTCGGCTGGTGGGCTCCCTGTGGGAGCGAGGCTGCCCCAGAGCAGGGCAATGACGACCTTTCTTGTGTCCCCAAGCCAAGTCTGTTGTGGTTTTTAATAAAACATTGCTTGTTAAGAAAGAGACACAACTTGCTTCTCATTCTGAGCTAGAAAATGAGCTGGAAATCGGAGATGTCAAGCTCCATCAACAAAACCTCATTTCAGGGTAGAAATTATTCAATGAATAACTCTTTAAGGCCAGCTTTTGTTAGAAGATGTTCAAGAGGCGTTATTACTTCTTGTCTAAGGATCATTATTTCTTGTCTAAGGAAAGGTAAATATGCAAGAGCTCATATAATTCTAAGATTTACTAATTTTAAATGCTAAAGTCATTGCACACTAAATTTTGGACAATTAAGAGTGATAACACTGAGGTAACAGTTTTATAACCCTCAAAGTGAGTAATTAGCTAAGAGTATCCCAGTTTTTGACAGAGAGAACGATATTTAAGAGAGGTGTTCATTTACACATCAAGGTCTTCATGAAGCCCTCGGGGATCACAGCTTGTTCTTTATGCAATACAGTCAGGCTTCGAGTGAAATAAATTTTGGTTTTATGTTCAGAAGTTTCTCAGATGTCAGTGTTTAGGCACCAGAAATTCAACCACAACAATAAATATAAAAAGTCCAGAGAAATGGCTTCCAAGTGATAGGAAACCTTTGTTATATGTAAACCACTTGATTTCAGAGGAGAAGCTGTTGAGAAGTTCACTTGATCAGGTCCCAGCTCAAAGCTTTCTGAAAACTGATGTAAGGATTCCCAATGATAACAGCAAGCTTTGAATCAGGCTCAAGGTGAATTGTGAGGGTTTGTTACTTTTACAGTACATGTGACCACAATTTTCCAGATTTTTCATGTTCACATAACTGTAGTTTTGGTGCAAGAATCTGGTCTGATGTGGAGCACACGGTTCTGCCGCCTCCCTGCAGTTCCCTGAAGGAGCTGCCCAGTGCTGCAGGCTGGTGTGTCCTGGGTGCCAGCACCCAACACGCAAGTAACATGATGAGAAGGGTCCTGATAGATGCAGAGTCTCATCTTCAGGTGGTCAGAACCCTTGTGAGCAGTGCTGCAGCTGGTGCTGTGGAGGGCACTGCCCTTCTTTAGACCAACCCTTTGCACTAAAGCTGCTCCTGTGAAGTAGCCACAGATACATGAACTGGGTTTGCTTGAGTCCAGTAGAGAAAGAAATAAAGTTTCACTGTTTTCTGTGCAGTTTATTTTATTTCTTTTTTTTTTTTTTTTTAATAAGAAATAGAGTCTAGCAGCAGATGTGTCATTTGTGCATGAAATTGGTAGCTTATTGAGGCACCTAAATTATTTAATTTTGTCTAACTTTAGGTAGCAGCTTGTACAGACCATGGTCTCATATGTCAGCAAATGGCAGTGAAATACCCCCATAGCTGTAATTTGAGATACTATGTATGAGAAGGTCCTGTAGTGTAGTGCTGAGACCCTGAGTACCTGCCTGTTGCATGCAAGGTTTTTAGAAAGATTTTTCAAAGGGGGAATTTGCATGAACCCTTCTTTGTAGAAAGGACTTTCATAGTATTTAGACTAGACTTCATGCTCTGAAGCCACTGATTTTAAATAAATGCTGCTTAGGGATATTTTGAAGGCTTTCTTGCCAACTGCTACCCAGTTTATTGGTTGTTTGCTACTGCTAGCAGTTTATTGGTGAATTAATTGAATAGTAGTGTGCTCCAAATGGTTTCTGGTTTTTAGAAAGGAGTTTCTACCTCTATTTTAAGTTTTTAGCCATTGCACAGGTTTTTAAAAGTATAAAATTTTACTGTCTCTTTATTTGAACAACTCCATAAAAATTTTTGAAACCAAACTGTGTTTTTGATCTGAATGTAACCTGTGTTTGCAGGTAATATACCTCTGGCTTTTGTTCTTGGTGTGAGGATCATACAGGTTGTTAAAGAGAGTTGTACTTGAGTTATGCACATTTTACTTCTGCTATTTGGCCTGATGGCTGCTAACAGCCACTGACACTAAAGAACCACTTTATAGTGAAACCTTTGATGTGCCCCCTCACCTGTACCTCTGTTCTCTCTGCTCTGTAGATCAACTACATGGCAACTGGGCTTTCCATAATAAAAGAGCTGTGACTTGACATGTGCAACTTAACATTGCACAGCATTGCTCTAAGAGCACTGAGAGAAATGTACTATTTCACCTGATCATCAAATCAATTTGCCCCTTCCAGATTCACTATAAACTGGGTCTGCTATGATTCTGAGCTTCAGAGAAGCCCACGCTGATGACATTGCATAGATTATTGCATTCTAATCTTGCATGTCTTTTCTCAAATCTTTCTTTTATTCTTAATTTATATTTCCTTTCTTGCTGCAGTTTTTTTTCTCTTGTTTTGTATTGTAGGATCGGGATACTCACCCCTTGAAGATGACGAGGATGTGTATGCACGCAATAGATATAAAGGTGAATGTTTTGCTTATGTGCTAAAGAGGATCAACTGGTTGCTGAGAGAAAGCTTCGTTCTTTTTCTTTTCCTGGATCAGAAAATCTTGGTGATCTAGCTCCATGGTTTTTCTCATGGATTTGTATATCCGGATTTAATTTCTACTGTTTTTAACAATGGAAATTAGACCAAGTACTGATCACAACTCTCTTATGCACCTGAGTAAGTAAATTCTGCCCTGCCTTTGCTCTGGGAAGATTGGGTTGTTAAATCATGAAAATCAGGAAGAGCTTCTCTTTCTTCTTCATACATCCCAACAAAACCATCAATGATAAGCTGACTCAAAACCTGAGCTTACTGATGGTGATGTATAGAAGTATGTGCAAGAGAACTTGATTTTCAGTACTTTTTTTTTTTTTTCCATAAAATTGTTTGCCTTTCAGGTTAACCTGCTACCTGAAATGCCAAGTGAAGTGTGTTTAAAAAATGAATGTGTACATTCAAAAAAATAAATTAGTAGCTGGATGAATGAAGGGACTGGCATTTTAGAAAGCAAATTCAGGTTTTCTTCCCTGTTCTGGAAGACTTTGCTATTCAGCAAAACTAAGACCTTTTTTTTGCCACTGCCAGTAAATCTTCCACTTGCTATGTCCATTTTCTTAAAAAGTCTCCTTCTGTCTCAATACCTTTCTCCTCTGCCAAAATCCCTCAGGAGCCCAGACAGTAAAGAAATTTGGCATTTAATTTGTCACTTTAAATGGTGTCATGGTTACAAATGGTAACTCCGATTTTTTTTTTGTTAAGTTGATCTGTGGACATGTTAACAAGTTGTAATAATTTTGATTACTTGAAAATAGTGGCCATTAGTGTCTTGTTGTACGTTACTGATTCTCTGCAAAGAATCAATGGACCATTGAGGTAAGTGATAAAGTAATTCAGACATTTATGAACAACAAAGGGGAAAGCACTGCTGTTATGTCTACATTGCTGTTTTCATAAATGTCTCATGTTCCTTCCAGTAAAATACTTCGGTATAACATTTTGCTTTCTAACACATGCACAAATAGTTCTCTAAAGCTTTATTTAGGCAAACTCATTTTTCTTTGCCTTTTAACATGAGGTCCTCTTCAGACACATAGAAAAAGAATTCCAGAGACCATGAAGATAAATCAATGCCAGTTCATGCCAGGGCAGGCAAGTAGTTAAAATGTGGTTTCTTTATAATTTCCTTTTATATGGTGATCCAAAATGAATTATACTCATGTCAACCAAAATGTCACCAGGGTAAGTGAAACATAATGACTCATTCACACAGATATTAAAAACTGCCCCAAGTTTGGAAGCACTACTGCCAAATGTTGAGGAACAGACAATGTGAATCTAAGAGTGTAAAGCATTGGAGTAGAAAAGGCTCAGTCTTCATTAGCATACTTCTTTATGTTGGCTTTGAGGGAAAGGGGTGGAGAAAGACAAAGCAAGAAAAATGGGCTGTGTGGCAATGTTCAGAGCTTCTCCTCAGATGTCCAGTCCAGTATTTTGGGTGTGACCCATTGCTCAGCAAATAAAGCTTCCCAGTAACAAATAACTAAATGGATTTTCTTAACTGATGTTAACATACATAAGCAGCATTGGTTTTCTTCTTTGCACATGTACTCACTAAACATTGCAAGCAAGCACACAAATTCATCCTCTTTGACATCTGCAAACAAAACATTGCAGTTTACTGGGAGGGGTGAAAATCGACCTCCTACTAAACCCTTTTGTCTTCATCTGGATGTTTGTCCACTTTCTCAGCTTTCCAGAGAAACGTTGCCAAGATTTTCTGTGCCCACAGCATTTTTAAAGAGTTTTCCCCTTCCTCCCTGGTCAACCTTCAGCTCTGTTGGCTGGTGTACCAGCAAGCAACAGCACAGCTGGTCACTTTGCACGCTGCTTGTGAAGGAAGTGCTCAGCTGAGGCTGGTGTTTAGACAGGACCAAGGAGTTGGGGGAAACGATGCCCCAAAAATGCTTTCCTTCCTGCCACTTGGCATGGCTGGCTGTGATCACATTTCATGGGAAAGGGCTTCCTGTGTACAGCATTTCCTGTGTTCATCACAGCTGAAGTGCCACTGCTCTGGTGATCCTCATTCTTAATGGGTTTTCTCAAATACTATACTGATCAAACAGTAGCCCCAGCTGTAGAGGCAGTACTGAGACTTCAACCTTTTCTGCATGCTGCCTGTTTTTCAGTGTTTTCAAACACAACATCAACCTACTGAAATGTTTTACTACCAAGTGATAATTCAGGCTATTGTGTCACTGAGGAAATTTCTAGTTCTTTCTAGTTTGTGCTAAGGCACAAACTTTTTATTAAACAAAGAAACAGTACATAGGTCCTAAAAATTCAAATTTCAGTTAAGTGAACAGAGCCTGGTATAGATGGTGAAGTTTCAGAAGAGATGCCTGGGAAACCTGTAACTTTTCTAATTCCCAAAGCCTTCAGGAACATGGCTGAGCTTGCCTTGAGGCAGAGAAGAGCTTTGTGACCTTTCAGGGCTCCACACAGACCTAATATTCTACAAGTACTCTGTGTAGCTGCTTAGCCTTTGAAAAACCAATATGTGCCTTCACTAAAAATCAACAAACTTTGATCTCAAACTTTGTTGTATCGTTTGATGTGCTTTTTAAGTTAGCTAGCGTTTTTTCCCAGCAGTATCAGTTGGTCTAAACCCAGATATTTGGCCCTTGTAAACCCTGCCTCACCCAATTCCTTCTAATCACAATCAGTTCTAGAGTATTATGTTTTAGATTAAACAAATGTTCCTCCTAAGTTCTGCAAGTTATTTGCATCCAAAAGCATGTCTGCTATTGTTTTTCTTTCTGACAGTATCATTTAGTCCAGTTTAAGATGTATTTTACCCCTCCCTAAGAGCCTTGCTTTGTTTCTCTCTGTAGACCACTGTAGCTGCAGTGGCACTACAGGAAAGGCATTTTCTTTTTCAGTATTGTGTTTGTGCATTAAACTGCATTTGTTAGCTGTTGGCCATTTTTTCTTTTCAAAATTTATGTGCAGCTGTTTACTCAGGGCAAGTGTGTTTGTAAACCCACAAAAATTTAGAGAAAAACTCAGGCAATTTGCAATACCTGAAAGAGCTGCTTTGCCTTTTTTTAATTATTATTAGCCTGTTGATCATGTTGCATAGCATATTTGTCTTAACACCCTTTACAAAGGAAATCAGCACTTGGATGTGCATTTGGAGTTTATACATGTGGAAAACCTGAGGCATAAATATCTTGAACTGATTTGCTGAAGGATTACCTAACTGGTTGGGGCAAAAGCTCGGCCCAAATGAGTTCCCCCAGTTCTGCCCCTTCAGTCATTGTTGTCTCAGTACCTTCAGATTTAAACCCTTCTGCAGAAAAACTGAGGTCTCCTCCTTAGTGAAGGAGATCCTACATGATCAGGCTTGTAAATAAATGGAAGTTTAGGGTGTCTGAGCATTAGAAGAACAAGTGAGACAGAAAACCTAGAAATTGTGGGCATGAGACCACTGAAGGGGAGATTATAGTAACGCTGTTGTTAGCTCAGGAGTAGGAGGATTTCTCCAGGAGGTGAATTATGTGGCTGAGCCAGAAAGCTGAACTGCACTCTACCCTTACACTGCTGGGTGCTGCTAGACTGGCCTGCTTGTGTCCTGTGCCTCAGCTACTGTGTATTTGGTGACACTGGGAATAATGTCACTTATACATCTTTGTGAAGGGTTTTCAGGTGTATCGGCGAAAGACAAAAGTAAGCATGTCACAGTAAAATACAACTGCTTCAGAAACAGACTAGTCTAGAGGAATGTGCCCTTGGTGTAGCACAAAACTTGATAATTAGTATCTGTAGATGCTGTTTGTGTTTACTCAGGACCAACACAGCAAAGTACAGATGTAAAATGTAGTTTCCATTGTGGAAGTGTAAATATGTCCTAGAGACATTGTGCTCTGAATATAAATATCCCATGTATCAGAAATAAAACAGGCTGTATTGATTTTTGTTTATTTAATGTGTGGACCTGATCCAAATAGTGTAGGAAAATGTACATAACAACTACAGGAATCAAGAGCTAGAAGTGAATATCTGCCAAAGATGATCTAGAAATTATTTTTAAATGTCTCTTGTGACTTTGTGAGTATGAAGGCTAAAAGTCTTTGTGTTTTGTTTGTTTGGGGGCTTTTTTCCATCTTTCTTGCAAAATTCAGATTTTTTTTTGTGTCCCTCCTGCATGTCACACATTGTCACACAGGATTTCAGGACCTGTCGTCTTTCTCTTTTTGCCTTGCAATCCCACCCTCCATCCCTCCCTCCTTCTCTCCCAGTATGTCCTTTTCAAATCATGGAACTGAGAAAGGGACAGGCTTAGTCACTCCTTGTGTAGGAAATTCCTACTGAGAAGCTGCCCATTTTCTTGGTGCACCCTGTTGTCAAAGCTAAACAAAGGATGTGAAACTTTGGCTGGGAAGGGAAAATCTCTGCTTGATACTTCACCAATCAGCATCAGAGTATGATGTTAAATCCTCACAAGAAGATGGTACCCATATCCTGAATATTTTAAAGTGTAGCCCTGACCAGTTAATAAAGATGCAGTTTTATGTACATGTGTTTCCCTTTTCCTCATTAGTTTGGTAGGAACATTAGCTGTGAAGTCACAGCCAAATTCCAGCTTTCCTCTGACTTGACAACCCCATCCATATCACTGTCTTGCATCCAGGAGCAACTAGAAAGTGGTACTCATGCTTCAGACTACATTTCCATGATATTAGGCAAAAGTCACCACCCATCTTTGGAGGTCAAGAGCAGGACACGTGATGTTCAGACTTTTGAGAACATTTAGAACTTAATTTAATTTTATGCAGCTTGTGTTCCCATTTCTGAATATGTGCTAAATAGAGAGTATGCTTATGAATGAACATTGACATCCTCTAAAGGATTTGACATACTGCAGGGGTTTGTGCTGTCAAATACATGCTTCATATATATATATGCTTTTGTGCATACGTGTAGCCAAATGCATGTTGCCCTTGGAAGCTATAAATTACTACTAAAAAGAGAGGGATAAAGTCAGATTTTTCTGGAAAGCTCTTCACTTGTCTGTTGGATTGGATACTTGCCTTCAGATTTAGAAGGCTATTTAATTTGTGAAGAGTATTTGAATGTTTCTTTGTGGCACCACAGAGCTGTTGAGAACAGCAGGGGAGCAGCTGCTCTTGCACACTTCACACGTTTTAGTTCAGGCTTAGTCCTGAGTGCTAGCTTTGCAAAATTGGAGCTGTTCTTAAGCACTGAACAGTTGTTCTGGCACATGGAGGATGTGTACACATGAGCTTGTCATTGGCAATATGATTTATGTAAGTGACATCCGTTCTAACCGTGGTAGAGCTTGAACCATCACAGGGTTCTGCCAAGGCACTGTCCTTGCTGCACAAATTGTTATGGCAGTGGAAGATCTTTTTTTGGATGAGCACTAAGAGAGCTAGGTGTAGAAAGCTGACAACTACAGCTAGACCAAAGGTGTTCCTAATGCAAACTTTCCTTATCAAAGAGCAGTTAGACGTGTCTACTTCAAAACAGGAAGGAAAAACACTCCAGCTGTCATCAAACTGCCCACATGGTGGCACACTTATTCCATGGACAAAAAGCATGGTAAAACCCCACTTATCCTCTCAACCCCTTCCAATCTAATGACTACAATCTTTAATGTTTTTCATAAAAAAAGAGCTGCCAGTCTTTGGAGGGCTGACATTTGGATGCGTAAAACTTATTGCACCTCCCTGCAACATTCTCCACTTTGAGGATTCATGGCTTTTAAATTAAGATATTTTTTCCCATTTCTTCTCTGTGACCATGAATAAACAAAGCGATTTTATGTTTGTTTCTGAATTTTTACATTTTTCTAATTGTTATGTGTGGATTTTTTACTTCTCTGTGCCAGAAACCCCGTGGTGCTCACCCATTAAAGTGAAACACGGTTACGCAAACTGCAGGACACCTCAAGGGGAATATTACAAGAATGTGTTGGGCACAAGATGTGATATTCGCTGTCAAAAAGGCTACGAACTGCATGGCCCTCACCAGCTAATTTGTCAGTCAAGCAAACGCTGGTCTGGGAAAGTGCTGTGCAAACGTAAGTGGCTACGAAATCTGTGTGTGTGACTTGTGCTGCAGGTTCAGCAGACAGTACATTTTCATTTGTCTTTGAAACTGATCTTTGGATTGTTACTGATTTTTAAAGGTTGATAATATAATTGGATGTGTATATTAGTTTGTGGCTGAGGATCTTACAGAGGTGCATGGCATGATGAGTATCTGAGTGGTACAAATGCCCATGGCAGATAGGGAATGTTTTATGAGTGTGGGATTTTGATTTGTGGAAGTAGTTTCATGGCAGAATCATAAAGCTGCTTTAAAATACTGCCCATCTTGGACTTTCTAAGTTGACACAAGTTGTATCAGTGTCTAAATGGGGTCTTGCATTAAAACATTTTCTGAGAAGAGAGGAATAGGTACTTGTCATCCCTTTTCTCATATAAATGTTGTATTAGACTGCTAATGCTTATGCAGAGCTAAATTTCAAATGCTTCTAATAAGAACAGTTTGGAAAAACCTCCAGTGGACAAGAATTTCTCCCACTTGTCATTTGCCAGCTGCATCTTTATTTCTGTGTAATACCCTGCATTCCCGTTACTCTAAAGGGGGGGAATAACAGGTTTCCGAAGTCGTTGTTTCCTTTTCCAGAAAAGCGCTGCCCCACCCTGTCCATGCCGACCAATGGGGGTTTCAAGTGTTTGGATGGTGCCTACTTTGGCTCGAGGTGTGAGTATTACTGCTCTCCAGGATACCAGCTGAAAGGAGACCGGATAGTGACGTGCATGGACAACAAAGCGTGGAGTGGCCGGCCAGCATCCTGCGTTGGTAAGTAGGATACAGGGGCTTCATCCTGGGAAGTCCACATCTTCAGGTACCTGCTAGTGCCCAGCTCTTGCAAGTAAACTCCAAAATGCCTTTTTATCCAGCTGATGGGGAGAAAAAAAGCAACTGTCCCTCTTAAGGAAGCAGAGAACAGTTTTCCAACAGATGCAAAGTTCTGTCACTCAGTACTTTGTCCAAAGTGAGTATCCTTCTTACACACAAGCTCCAAGTATTACCATTTTAATAAAGATGAGGCTGATGTAAATGGTCAGCACTTTTCAATGCTTTGCTCATCTCCTGGGTGACTCCTTGGTAGCCTGTAATTACTGTGCTGCTTTTCTGGAATGTTCTCTGTGCTGGAGTTCTGTCACGCTTTCTGCAGCTTAATGATAAAACAGGTTTGAAACTAAATCCATTGTCTGACCTGTTGTTTTTCTTCCTTGGGATCATGGTCTCCAAGTATATCCAAGGACTATAAATCGATTGTAGTTACCAGCATGGTTGCAGCTAATTTAAATTTCAGCCTAGTTCACATTACTTATGCCAGCAATTTTCATTATGTAGTCAGTGGTCTCCTGGGAACCTCAGCAGGAATAAGTGTTTCTATATACATAAACCAAAAGAGAGATAAACAAATATTGAAATTTAACTTTCCTGACTACTAATGAAATTTCAGCAGATAATGGAGTCTCAGCTGCTGGCTACCCTTTTTCTGGGAAGCCTCTGATAAAAGCTTCAGCAGCCACCCACAAAGGGAAGTATTTTTTGTCCGTCTGAATTGGCTACCAGTAATTTCAGCTTGTGGGTGGTAGACTGTTTGTGCTCAGTGTTTTCTCTGTAAGATAACTTGGTTTTCCTCAGAATGCCTGTGGCTCAGTTTAGGTTAGCAAATGGTTTTGGAGTCTCTCCACTGTAGCCTGATGTTCATAAAATTTTGTTCAGGTTTCCTGTTATTTGGTGTTGTACAAATGTAGAAATGAGATGCTTAGGTCTAGACTGTTTGTGGCATCTCTTGTTTTCATTTACAAAAACAAGCTTTGTCCTTCTCAGTAGTGTGGGCAGAGGAAGCAAAACAAACCCTTTTAAGTTTGGAAATTATAAAATATTGTCTTCTGTATTTCCTGGTAATTTCAGAACATCATCTGTTTGCGGCAATGGGGTGTTTGTCACAAAAGGATGATGTCTTGCAAAGTAAAGTAAGCAAGTACGTTTTAAACAAAAGAAAAAGAGGCTATGTCAACACTAACACTTCTTTTTTATTCCAAAAATGCAGGGTACCTATTGCAAAGGGTGTGATTGCAAGTCCCAAGTAACCCAGTAAAAGTAATATTATGATTTAATTTCTGGTAGTGCCACATAGGGTGGAGAAAGCCCCTTCAAACCTTGTGTGCACTCAGTTCCTATATGCACATAGTGAGGTATACAGTTAGCAGATTGTTTAATAAGGTTATCTTTTGACCTCCTGATAGGTAGTATACAAAATTTCATGTGACTAAACATAATTCCACAGTTTTTGGCATTGGATATGTAAAAAATTACTTCAGACCTGCACTTGAAATGCTCTGGGAAATAAGGGACTTTCCTCTAACTTTTTTACTGTTCTGCTTAGCATTTTTGCACAAAAATTAGGTAAGTTTTAGCAGTCACAGAAGTCCTTACAGATAGTGAGTATTCAGGCCTAACAAAGCAGAGTGACTCTGTACTGTCCTTCCTTCATGTTGCTGAAATAACTTTGATTAAAAAAGATCAATGTACAGCTGCTTTTGCTTATCAGTTAGCTGAAAATGCCAACTTGAATAATACTTCCACTATAACCCTAGTGCACTGTAACATATATTGAAATACATATTTTCTTCTAGAAAATTTAAAAATGTCAATGTCTTTTCTTCTGGAAGAGTTTCCTTTTCCTGCTTATTCTATAACAGAGGTTGTGGTAAATGTTTGTCACCATGCTAAGTCATCCTCTTCTCATATCCTAAGGCTGTATTGATAGGTAGTTACTAACAGCTTCCATCTGAAACAAGATTTACACTCTGAGTCAGTGATCACACAGGCCTTTATAATGGATGTTTTGAAATACAAATCAATCCCTTGTGCGGGCGGGTGGGGAGAGCAGGACAATGTTTTTCATTCTCATTTTTATGATTTCATCTCTTTATGCTTTTGATATAGACTAATGCTTTGAACTAACTTCCAGCCATTTTTTTATGTCATCAGCAATAACAGCATATTCATGGAACAGTAGACAGTTTACCCATCCCATACAGGCCATTGAGTAAGCAAGCAGTGGGCATTCAGAACCATCCCTCTGTTTCTTTCCTCTTGTCATCCCAGATTCACAAGCAAATAAATGTAAACCTTTAGCAAACTGTGAGAAAGAATGTTAACAAGCTCTTTAAATTTTGTTGAAATTGTTAATATGGCCAATTCCTGGAGTATGTTTAAAAAAAAAAAACGACATCCAAACCAAACCAAACAAAAAAACCCCCAAACCAACCAAAGAAAAAAAACCCACAACCAAAACCTAAAACCTGTTTGAAAACTTTGCATTTTTCTCCACAAAGTTCAAAAGGCTGATTTAAAATGGAGTGTTCCACTGCTGAACTCTTGATGCCATGTCTGCAATGCCACTTCCCCACATGGAGCCAGAGTACCAGTTGCTGCTGCCAGATAGTCAAGAAAAATGACAGAATGTGGCTGAACAGTGCCACATTTTTAATGAAAACTCAATCTCCATGTTCATGATTTAAACCTTGCAGGCGAGAGTCTGACATTTAATACATAGCCCTGCTAAACAGCTTAAATAAATCTGCTTGGCTTTTCATTGCTTTTTCAGCACTGACATTGCAGTAAAAGCTAAGACTTGCTCTACCAAGTCAGAGACCTTTGCAGTGTGTCCTGGTTCCAAGTCTGCCTAGGAATACTTATTAAATGAGGGTCTGACACTCCAGCGCTTACAGGACAATTTTTCCCTCTGATAAAACCTCTCCAGCAGTCAGCAACCTTGAGGGTTCCTCTGTTGGGGTTTGTTTTGGAACCAGTTTAGTTTTCTGACCTGCAGGTGGGCACCTTGTTCACATCAGACATTTTACTGAAGATTTTCTTGGCATAGTTGTGTTTCAGTTTTGTCATTTGTGCATTGCCTGGATGGTCTCTGGTCACCTTCTCTGCGTTCAAACGGGCTGGGGTTTTTTTAGACCTGTCTTCCTTCAGCCAGGCTGTGCCCAAAGTGCTTAACTTGCTGTAAATTTGCCATAACTTTGTACAAGGGAATGAGAAAAAAGAGCAGTGAGCACTGTTTGGTGTTTAACACATCCCAGTAGAGACTGCAGTTAGAAAGCCTCTTTGGTGGACAGCTGCTTTCTCTTGACCTATTTCCAAGCAGAGTTATTCTGTCTGGGTTTATTTAGTGCCTGTTGAATGCTAACAGGCAGCTGAAATGACCAAAACAAATATCCTCCCCAGAAATGTTTAAGTCCAGCTAAAAAGGCTGCCTGGCCCCTGGGTTCTTGGTGAGTTGGTTCCCCCAGTAACTGCATTGTTTGCCTTTATGGTATGGAAGTCCAAGCTAGTTCATACCAACCAGTCTTCTCTGCACTAAATAGCTTAACGAGCTTTCTGATTAATTAAGAGTTTAAAGCACTGGGTCCTTAAATGCTGCTCTAGCTTTTATTCCAGCATCACATTTATTTGATTTATACTGTCCACAGTGGTGAGTGGTCACCGCAGTGAACTAATCAGAACCAGAAGCAGCCTTGGTGAGGCTGGGTTATTTCTTACCCTAATTCAGCAATGTAGCTTCCTAGAGGAGGGCAGAGCTCTCACAGGCTGCAGTGTCAACAAGTTTTCACACATAATTGGAGGGTGCTTTAAAAGTAAGGGAGTGAATAAGAAATATGAGGAATGGAGACAAAAGCATCAGGACTGGCAGTGAATGTAGCTGAAGACAAGCAGCTGTGCATCACCTTTATCCTCCATCAGGGTCTTCTGTCATTACCACTGTTCCTTTGCTTCTGAATAGTAGTCACAGTGTTAAACAGATAAACAGTCTTTCAAAATGTACCTACATTTTTTTTGTATTACCTGTAAGGCATTATTATAAGAGTTATTAGGAAAAAATCAAACACAGCATTAATTTTCTGCAAAATTACAGTTGTACCAGTCTTCTGTTGTTTCTTGTTTTGCCATTACTGCAGTAAAAATAACCATTATGTTGAGAGTAACATGAAAAGTTATCATGCAGAGAGAAATGGACGTTAAGTGTGCTTTAAAAATGCTCTTAATCACAATGTCTACCTCACAGACAAACAAAGAGAAGAATGCAGATAAAGAGAACAGAAACTTCTTGGATACAATCTTTGACATCCCTCCTTGAAGTTCAAAGGTGTCTATTTGTTGACATTATCTTTTAACTGATGTAAAGAAACTATGTATTAGACGGTACTATACATACTACATACTATGGCTATGTAAAGAAATTTGCAATAACTTGTTGTAATGTTTTTTGCATTGTAAAGGACTGATCATTGTCAGCTCTTACTCTTCCCACAAAAAGGTGAGAAGTACTGGCTTCACATGCCTTGGCTGGGACATCCCCAGTGTTGAGGAGGCCTGGTGAAGTCTAGGCCAGGTCCTGGGTTACACTGGGAAAGAGCTGTGAAGAAAATGCATAGCTCCAAGAGGTGCACCAGTGCCCATTTCTGTGACATTTATTTCAACAGACACCGAACCTCCGAGAATCCAGTGCCCAAGCGTGAAGGAGAAAACCGCGGAGCCCAACAAGTTGACAGCCAGAGTGTTCTGGGACACCCCAGAGGGACGGGACACTGCTGATGGGATTCTGACAGAGTAGGTGAAAATCTGTAGATGTTTGTGTTTTCTCCTTCTTATTCCTTGATTAGAAATTCAGCTGATGATGGTGGCTGGGTACTCTTTCCCTGTAAGTCATCTAAGATGCTTATTTTGACAACTTGGAGGTGAATTGTTCAGGAAGTAAATAGCAGATTGTTGTGGTTATTTTAGAGCTGATGTAATATACAACAGCATTTTGACCTGTGAAATTTTCTGGAGCTCCTTTGCAGATCTCATAGTCAACAAGTTTTCTTACAGCAAGTTACCTTTTGTACACAATGAAGAGAGAGTAGTGCACTGGAGGTAGCAGCAGAGGCAAGTTTGACTGCCTTAAAAAAAACCAAGGTAAATTGTGGTACAAAAAAATCATCTTTAGCCTTCTTCCTGAACTAGTGCTGGCTACTGATGTCCCAGGGTTCTGCAGTTACCTTTAAAATAACATTCCTTGTTTGAAACTTTAGTAACTTTAGACTTAAGACTTCAAAATTTCTTTATCAATTTTCATGGTTTCGCAGTCACATTTCCCAGAAGAGCAAGGTGTGCCTGTTATGGTACTACTGCCTCTGATTTTCCCATTTTTATCATGCAGGATTTGTGTCAATCTGTTGAGATTATTGTAATGGTAGGAGTATAGAAAATCTGCTTTTTTCGATAAGCATGTTACATCTTTCAGCAGTGTAATAGTGGGCTGATTAAGCTTAAAAGCTCAAAGTTGTAAGCGTAAAGATATTCACACTTTGTAAGAATAGAAAAAGGTGTTGAAAGACACAATGGTATTGCCCTTTTATTGCTATAAATTAATAATATTAGAAAGAAAAATTCATTGTACAGTTAAAACCAATATTGCTGTAAAGGTCTGATGTAATAATTCTATGACAATTAACAGCATTAAAAAATTACACCTGATAAAACAAAAATTTTGGAAATGACAGAATAAAGAAATTCCAAAGTCTTTTTGCCTGATAGGAAAAAACAATGAGAAATGTCCCATGTAGATTTGTCATACAAGTAACTGTTGTCAGCTCAAAAGAGGTAAACTCTTGATTCTGTGGAAGCTTTTCCATAAACCACATCTCTATTTTTATAAAGTCTTGCTAAACTGTGATGTTTTTTAGAGTATGCAGTGCTTTCCTTAAATGCCCAAGGTCCTGCAGCTCCATGAGTACATAAGCTTTTCAATTACATGGAACACTACTTTACCTCAGTGCCCCAATACTGAGGATGTGTTTAATGTATCTGAATTCTCCTGTCTCATTTGCAGGATAGGGGCAAATTCCAGGCAAAAATGCTGCTGTGGATCACCACAGCCTTCTGACTAGCCCCAGTAATCACACCATGTGCCTAAGAGTATTGTCTGTAGGAAGATACTGCTGAACTTACGAATGTCTGTCCTGCATTATCTCCTGCTTTAGTGTTATTTTGAAAGGCCTGCCACCAGGGTCACATTTTCCAGAAGGCGACCACAAAATCCAGTATACTGTGTATGACAGAGCTGAAAACAAAGGCACTTGCAAATTTCTTGTTAAAGTCAGAGGTAAGAATGTTGTTTTACCCTTTAAATACAGTCACTGATTTGCATCTGGTTTAGCAGGCAATTTGAAAATGTCCTTATTTCCGTATTTATCTGCATATGTATGCATATATAAACTCTGTGTTGATGCTGAAAAGGAGAACACAGTCTTGCTCAAGACCCTGGGGGCCAGTCTGCAGCAGGGTGCAGCAATCCTGCACACGAAGGAAGAGCTTCATTAATCACTCCTGAGTCCTGCTCCATACCCCTTCCTTCCTGCAAGCTTCTTGCTGATACCCAGCTTGTGAGCTGCTGAAAGAAAGATGTAAAGGAGTTTTTTCAACTGTGAGTCACATCTGTCAAGTAGGGCTGCCCTTTCACAAGTCCAGATCTTCAAATCCGGATTTGAATCTACAGAAATTGAACCCTGTAGGTTTTGGCTTCAGCTCTTGATGCTCCCTGACCTTTTGTCACTGTGATACCACAATCACATGCATACAGCTGTACATCTGTTTCACTTCAGTTTACATAAAAGATCAGGGTGGGATTTGTTTTGGTTGGCTGGGGTTTCTAAGTACATACATAATACAGAAAGCAAACAGAAAAATGTCCTCAGTACTGGTATTTCACTGGCCTGTGGTGCCCTCGTAGCAAATGGTGATTCATGCCTTGTCTTTTTGTTGGTTTGTTTGTTTTCTCTTGCTTGAAGTCAGGCGCTGTGTGAAATTAAATGCCCCAGATAATGGCTACATCAAGTGTTCAGGTGATGGAAATAACTATGGTGCTACATGCGAGTTCTCCTGCATTGGTGGCTACGAGCTGCAAGGAAGCCCAGCTAGAGTGTGCCAGTACAATTTGGGGTGGTCAGGAGTGGAGCCAACCTGTGCACGTAAGTGAGTATTTCACCACTTTACCAGAAGGACTGACAGAGCAATGGTTCTCAGGGCACTGAGAATTTGGGAAGTGGGTGTGGGGTGGAATACAGCTGCAGCATCCCAGAGGTAGGAAACTTAATATATCTTTGTCTCCTCTGCCAATTTGCACTTAGAGCTGAAGGCTTTGCCACTTTTGGCTGCTCTTTCCTATGGTGATAATGGTACCTAACAACTGATAGTTTGATTTAGCTCAAAGCTCTCTACAAAATGTCACATTCTGAAGCCAATCCATCAGCCAGAACAATTTACAATAAAATCATTGGCTTTGATGAGGCCAGCATTTCACCTGTATCTTCTCTATTATTGTTCCTTGTTCTTGTGTTTCTGCTGTCTAACCATGCTTGTAGAAATAGATCTCTTTCCAGTATGCTCTATAACTTTTGTTTTCATTTTAATTCTAGCCATGAATATTAATGTGAATGTGAGGACTGCAGCTGCGCTTCTGGATCAATTTTATGAGAAGCGGAGACTGCTAATTATTTCAACTCCTACTGCAGCCAACTTCTTCTACAGGATGCAGCTGGGAATGCTGCAGGTAAAACACATTTAAGGGGGGGTGGGCAACTATTTTTTTTTCTTTAAGGAAAGACACAAGAGGACAAGCTCCACTGTTGGATATAAATCCACAAACTTCAACTGTTATATTCCAGCCAGTGGAGGATCTGGCTGAAACAGTTGTGGTTTGGGATTAATCCTTTTCACAGGAGTTTGAGTTGAAATATCTCCCCAGTCTCTAACTCAGCTTCAGTCTGGATTGTGCTGCTTCTGACTGACCAGTCACTGAATCCCAGGCAATTCTGCCCCTCCAATCATCCACAAATTAATTTAATATTAATTTGCACTCAATAATAATTCCCTCACTCAACTGCTAAAAAAGTTGAAAAAAACCCCAACCCTCCAGCGCTTCAGTGGATGCAGTTCATGTAAATCAGGCTTACAGAATTTGTAACTACCATGTGAGGAAATGTGAGTAGCTTCAGAAATAACAAGTGCACCAGCAAACAAAGGACTAGAGACTCAGCACAGAAATCGTCCAGTGCTGGAGATAACACTGGAGTATTTTGTTAAAAACAATTAAAACTTATTGTAATTGTCTTTCTTAGGTGTTGTAGTTGTGATGCTCTTGCTAGCTTCTTGCTAAACTTAGAGATGTATCTCCAAAATGTATCTGTGTTCTCAGGGAAAGAAAGGAAAGGAACCAGTCCTGTATTCTTTCACAGAAACAAGTGCTTTTATCTTGTTTTTTATTTCTCACAACTGTAGCAAAATTCAGTATAAATAGTCATTGGGATATGACAGGATTATGTTTTTAACTGCTGGCTTAAGTTACAGTTGTATTTAAGAAAAAAAAAGTTTTTTTCCCCATTAGATAAACTTGCAAGAAAATTCAGTATATTTATGAAACTGAAATAGTTTAAGATACTAAATTTAATGGCTATAGTACATTTTTCCATGCTTGACAGTGGGCTAATAAGTTGGCATGAAAGAATACTTTCTGCAGTCAACTTCTATTTCACATACCTTGCTTCGACTGACAAATTAGATTACAGGGCTTAATACCCTGGCATCTTTTCACTACAGAGAGAAGTTTATATATCTCTAAGTGGTCCCTGTGTGTTGTTTTTTTTAGAGCAGCTAAGAATCTGTCATTTACATTGCCTGCAGTCTTGAGGCTCTAGTTCTTTGCCATGAAAATTAGAGAGTTTTCAAATTATGCTCTCGATTCAGTTTAAAACATCTCACTAACATAAGAAGATGGGACTCTATGAACACTTGCTGCACACTCCAGACATCCTCCTGTTCTCTCCCTGGTAACTAACACACCTGTTTCTTCTTTTAACCCTTCCAGCCAGCACAGTGTGGGTTAGACCTCCGACACGTTACCGTGGTTGAACTGGTTGGTGTGTTCCCAGCTCAGATAGGAAGAATAGGTGTAAAGCTGCTGCCTCCATCTCTTGCCCTGCAACTCAGGTAAAGGAATCTCTCACTACTGTTGTGTTTGCACCTTATCATACAAAATGCATTGCTTTTGATTCGCTGCATCTTACTCTCTAAATATACATATTCTATTCTAATGTACCTAACTAGACACTATAAGGTAGATGTTGATGAGAGTCCTTTAGGATTAGTTTGCTCTCTGCTCTCTGTGTGATGGCTACTGCAAATTCACAGGCAAATAAAAATATAATAACAAATTTAATATTTATTTAATTTAATTTATTATAATTTTAATATCCCCATAGTCGTGATAGGTCTATATTTTTGGGTACTGCCACCAAAAACACTCCAGGCATATCTGGAGTGTATTTGTGCTGGAGTTGGTCTGATGCAAACAGGACAGGCCACAGACCCTTTGCCATGGAGCAGCTGCCAGGGCAGCCCCAAGTGGCAGCAACAGCCCATCCTCTCTGCACCAGCAGTAATCCTACGGACACTGGTGGTTGTGGCCAGGCCTGAAGGGGAAGCAGTGGTGGCTCTTTGAAGTCTCACATGTAGGAATGATATGGGCAGTATTTCAAAGAGGAGATTATCTCAGCCTCCTCACCCCAGCTGCAGCATCAGCAGTTTTACCGAGGTGCCTGAACTGGTTTGACTTGGGTTTAGACTGGCAGAGGATTGGTTTTCAAGTGAAAGGGAGACTTCAAGTGCCAGCATTTCCATGAGACAGGAAGACAATAAAAGCCAAAAGTGAAACTGTGGCAGGGAAAGTAGTAGTTATTTAGAAAAAAGAGTCCAGGAGCATTTTAGGCAACATATTCTGTGATATGCCTGATGAAAGAGAGTTAGTTTTAGTTGGAGACAGTGCAAATTGCTGACACATCAGAGAAGGGTTTGTTTTCTATTTAAAAAAAAATATTCTCTATAAAAAGAAAAAAGAGAACACAAAGAATCTCTTTTTACTTTTTTGAACAAAAGTACTGTTAGTGGAGTTGAGATGGTTTTCTTGTGGCTCTGTAGAAAATAATAAGCTCTCTTAACACCTCATCCCTGCTCCCCTGCAACCTTTAATGGAGCTACATTTCAGAAATGGGTATAGTATGACCTGCCCTGCACTCAGTGAAAGTTAGTTTTCCATTGATTTTTTTTTCTCAGTTGTTCCTTAGTGTGTGAATTACAGCTTTCCAGTTCTAGAAGGTACTTAAATCAATATGAAATGCACTCTTAAACATCGTGAATAATAGCATTGACTAGAACTGGCATTTCAGTAAGCTAATGAGCACAGGTACCCTAGTTAAAACTTTGGAAAGTTCAGAAGTTTAGCATTTGGATTTTTAGAAGGTAAGCATTTTCCTTAGGTGATATGAGGCACAAGATGAATGCAGTTTTCTATCACCATTGCTTAGCTTTAATCTTTATTTTAGCTTGAATTTAATGGCCAAGCTCCCTAATTGCAACAAGACTATGCCTAGAGAGCTCAAACTTGTTAGAAGGCTGAGGAAGATCAATTTTGAGACTTCACACCTTTCCAACACCTCTCCTCCCAAACTCTCTTCTTCATGGCAGCTTTTCTGTCCTCATACCATTTTCTCTCATGGCTGCCTGAATTTATTTGCCCCACACTAATGATGATGACTGACAGTGTGTCTGAGGATCATCCAGTTCATTATCCCTTCAAATCAAAGATGAAAAGAGCAGCACAGATAAGATTTTGTTACTCCTGCACCTTCAGAGGAGCTTAAATGACCTGTGGAAGAAAAGGACTCCTCCCTGATTAGGAAGTGGCTTTTGTTCTCCTAAACTGGAGTCACCACCAAGTAGATGTTTGACTTGGTAAAAATGAAAGCAGACTCCAAAAATTTTGTCCTGTGTTTTTTAATTGTGATTTTATACCATGTGGAAGCCAAGAAAGGGAATAATCTACTATAGCTCTAGCTTCATCACAATGGTTTTCCTTAGACAATGTATATACTATCTTTTGCCTTACCTTTTTTCACTCTTGTGATAGCAATAGGTAATGGCATGTGCTATACTTAGTCAGAGGTCTGAGAAAAAAACAGAGCTGGGTGCAGTACCTTGACCCATCCCTAATGCAGGTACAGCCTGCAGCACATGCAGGCACCTTCTCTTTATCTGACTCCTTGTTCTTGATGCTGAAACAGAGCAGCCTCTGGGCAGCCCCCTCTGACCATCCCCACCTTCCTCTGCTCAGAACCAAGAGGCTGGTTCTGCCCTTTGTTAGTTGGAAGTGCCCAGGCAGTAGGTGACAGGCTTTAACAGAAGTTCCTTACTTTTCAGGCTGCTGCTGAGGATCCCCCATTACAATTTCAACATCGTGGTGATGGACAAGCACGGAATGGACAAGGAGCGTTATCCTTTCCCAGCAACACCAGCTGAACTCTTTGCCCTTATTGACAAATTTCCCTTGAGAAAAGATGAGATGAAACTGCAAGCAGAAATTGGTCAATCATGTCCCTAATTCAGGATTTCAGGGCTTGCAGTTGTCAGTGAATTTTTTTTAATTCACGTATTTCTCTCCTTGGTGCTACACAAAGCATGGCTTTTTTAATCACTGATGTGATTTTTTGTGTGTATCGGTAAGTCTGTCCAGCCGTGTAGCTGCTCTGCATAGAAGTATGCACGATGCTTTTTTGTACTTTCAGTCATCTTTAAATCATAGAATCACAGAATGGCCTGGGTTGGAAGGGACCTTAAATATCATCTAGTTCCAACCCCCCTGCCATGGGCAGGGACACCTTCCACTAGACCAGGTTGCTCAGAACTCCATCCAACCCGGCCTTGAACACCTTCAGGGGTGAGGCATCCACAACTTCTCTGGACAGCATGTTCCAGTGTCTGACCACCCTCACAGCAAAGAATTTTTCCCTAATGTCTAATTTGAACCCATTCTCTTTCCGTCTGAGGGCATTCCCCCTTGTCCTGTCACTACATACTCCTGTAAAAAGTCCTTCCCTCAGGTACTGGAAGGCCACAGTTAGGTCACCCTGAAACCTTCTGTTTTCCAGGCTGAACAATCCTAATCCTCTCAACCTTTCCTCATAGGAGAGCTGCTCCATCCCTCTAATCATCTTGGTAGTCCCCTCTGGACTTGCTCCAACCACACCTTCTTGTGCTGGGGACTCCAGAGCTGGATGAATAGGTTTGCTATCTAGTGGAATTTCTTGTACAGAGCGCGAAGAAGTGAGGCACATTTCTGGGAGTTTATTTGGGATTTTTCATTCAGTGTAAAATTGGGGTTTCTTTCTTACTGTTTATAATTCTTTTTATTAATAAAATATTGTTTTGCAAACAGATAGTTGTCTAAAATTCCTCTTGGAGATTAAAGCTGGTTGATTGATTCAGAAGTTGGATCAAAATACCTCTCTGCAGACCATTAAAACAGCCATTAACCTCACACTGAAAGTGTACAAGCAACCCAGTGGTGTCTTTCAGCTCCACTAAAAACATGGCCAATCACAGACACAAAGCATGAGCCAAAGGCAACACGAGCATCTGTTTTCAGCAGCAGCAAGGAGAAAGTAGATAATAGCAGCAATGTGGAAATCACTGCCACAGGGAATATGATAAAGGAACAATGAGCAGTGTAGAGGATGGGCATTAATTACTGAAGGCCACGTACTGCAATGCTTTATAGAAACATATGGTCCTACCTGGTATGTTTCTGCTTCTGGCTTTTAATGTCCAACCATCTTGGAGTAGCAGATTTCTTTCCTCTCTTCACCTTGGAGACAGACCAGACTGTCTATTTGATGGCAAGGAAACATTACCCCCAGGGAAACTTCATTGAGGATTTGTCACTTCCAGAGCTGTGAAAATACTTGTTTGCAAATAGTCACTTATAAAGTAACAAAAAATAGTTCTATGTTGAATAAGAAGTATTAGGAGGCAATCAAAAAAGGAAAAATTTTTCTGTTGTTTCATTATAGCCCACAGTCTTGCCAATCCACTGCAAAGAATATATATAGTGCATGAAAATACAAACAAAGGAGTGAAGATTGGGAATTTCAGCTTTGGATGCCTGTTTACAGGATATGGTGCATAATTTGATATTTCTGAAAAGCAACACTCCAGTGTCTGTGCTGTTTGTTCTTGCCCATCAAGGGCACGGTCCTGGTTTTATCAGCCAAATGCTTGTTTGACTTTGACCATAAGGTAGATTTTTAAATTTTACACTCTGGTATCAGCAGAAGAACAGTTTTACCATCATCTTTAAAGCAATCCTTACCAGAATTCAGGCTCTCAAGCTCTCTGAAATTACAAAAAAAAAAACAAACAAAAAAACAAACAAACAAAAAAACTGCCCCCAAAAACCAAAAACCCCAAAAAAAAAAAAAAAAAAACACAAAACAAACCAACCAAACAAAAACACAAAAAAACCCCAACAAACCAAAAACAAACCACACAAACTTTTTAAGAGAGATGATCCCTCATTAATTCACTATCAGGAGCAGACTGTGAGGAGAGGGAAGTCAGCCACGGCACTAGCTAGCAAAAGCTAACTTGTGGACTGAGGCACCAAGGAGAGTGGTGGCATGCCATGTCTCCTGAACAGGATGGTCTGCTTTCCAGTGTTAGGAAATTGTTGCTAAACACTGAAGAGTATGACCTGTGGAGGGCTGCTGGTGATGCTGATGTCAAAGGCCGGGAAGTTCAGGATACTCCCTGAACTTTGCAGGTGGTGGTGCCGGGTTTGCAAGGATGAGCAACTGGGGGTCAAGGCAGCCCTGGCTGAGCTTTAGAAGTGTTGCTGTTAGGAATAAGCTGCAAGGACAAGAGGGGTGATGAAAAAATCAGAGAAATAACATTTATCTTCCAGACCTGACCAAGCCCAAAATAAAGTAAGTCCTGAACCCACTATAAAGGAGCAAGGAGTATAAGAGCCAGCATGGTGGTGGACATGGCTGCACCCCAATTGCCTTTTCTCTGCTGTCTAACAGCAATGGTTAAGAAAATTAGACGGGGCCAGTCACACCAAGGACATGGACCTACTGAAACAAGCCCAGAGAAGAGACACTAAGTTGATCCAAGGGCTGGAACATCTCTCCAAGGAAGACAGGCTGAGCGATTTGCCGCTGTTCAACCTGAAGAAGGTTCCAAGGACACCTCATTGCAGACTAAAGGGGGCCTACAAGAGAGCTGGAGAGGGAAATTTTGCAAGAGCATGTAGTGATAGAACAAGGGGAAATGGCCTTAAGCTGATGGAGGGCAGGTTTAGACTAGATGTTGGGAAGAAATTCTTTATTGTGAGGGTGGCGAGGCACTGGAACCTGGAGGTGTTCAAGCCCAGGCTGAATGGGGCTCTGAGCAGCCTCATTTAGGGGAAGCTTCTCTGCCCACAGTAGGTAGGTTGGAACTAGACTAAGATCCCTTGCAACCCAAACCATTCTGTAATTCTATGATTCCAGGAATGTAGAACAGAGCCCAAGGACACATCTATACACAGACTGCTGTGGCCCCAGTTCTCTGGCTCAGGTTCTTCAGCCTGCCTGTAATTATAGCATGAATCACAGGTGGACAGGTTTGGAGGGGTTTTTTCCCCTCACTTTTCTCATTGAAAAAGCAGAGCAAGTGATTTTCACTGATTTAAAATTTATTAAAAAAAAAATTCTCGGAAGGGTCTGTTTTTCTCCTGTATTGCTGCAATTTCAATCTGCTGCTGCTCCGTTTTGATTTAGGTACAAAGTCAGTGCATTCAGTCATCTTTCACGACTGGGTGAACAGGAGCAGGGCTTTAAAATTGCTACAATCAGGAAAGCGATTGCAATCACTAGGCTGTTACGGGAAATTGAGTTAAGTGGAGGAGAGTGCATGAGTGATTGGATTACCGGTTATAGTTCTGCACAGAACATCTATTAAAATCCTGTGATTAGGAAAAGCTGTTCTTGATTAGTAATACAAGGTTTCTGGCATTTTCTGTTGTACATTTTTTATGGGGAACAGTGAAAAACACCATTTGCCATCTCTGTTTCGGAGTCAAATCAGCCTGGATGTACACATGGATGTAGTAGAAAGGCCTTTTTGGAAACTAGAGTTTGAACAAGAGACTTAGTATTTCTGTCTTTAGCCCAGCAATTATATATTCAAATATATTCCAGTAATTCATCCTCTAGCCTGTTCGTCCCAGAAAAAATAAAACTCAGTATTTATACCAGTACACTTTTTTAATTAAAGGTTTAACAGAAAATTCTTCTCCCTCAAAGTTTTACTGTCTGGAGTCTCTCTTGTACTATGAACATGGCTCTCCTTGCATAGCTCTAATCCTACCATTGTTGTCAAAATGCAAATCTGGTTTAAAACATGACTATTAGACCTGCCATAAGTCTTGTCCTTTCCACTCCCACCTCCAGGCTGTTCATTGCAGGATATGTGACACATCACAGTGTGTGGATACAGTCACAGGCTGGAGGTTTCTACATCAATCTGGAGGTACTTTTCAGTTTTGAATATGAACAAAAAGACTTCAACTACTTTAGATCAGAAAAGAATTCCTTGTTTCTGATATGCAGAATCTTTAACAAACAAAACCAGTGAGATAAACTGTGGGAGGCAGCAATTTCTTGACACAAAGTAGTCTTATAAATGGGCTGATTTTCCCCAGATTCTACCCAATAATCCACCTAATTAGATGAGAACAACCCCTGCTGTCACACATCTCCTATACAGCCGCAGAGGAGAGATAAAATTTGGAATTGCACATCCCTTTTCTTGAAGTTCAAACCCCTTCCCTCTGGGACAGAAAGTTTTGTGTTTTAATGAAAACACCAATGACCCTTAACAGCTCTGCGCTAAATGACTATAACATGCAGCTTCATTACAGCTCAGTACTTACATAAGAGCGTGAGTCAGAGTGCATCACATAATTAATGAAAATGCAGAGGCTAAAAAGTAACCTGAAGTATATTTAAATACTCTTACAATCACAACCCACTTTTTAAATTGAGGTGGTGAAATAATGGAGCTTAAGCTGTGCAATCTCAGCACTTGATCACTTCCAGGCACTCAGCACAGTCTCTGTTCCTGTTGTACATCCACAGAAAGGGAAAAGGCAGCGAGTGCTTCACACCATCAGGAGGTGGAACAGCTCCTCTCACCTGTGTACCTGCTGCCCATTTCTCTCTCCCCATTTGTGGATGGAGGATATTTTTATGGCAGTTTGGTGAAGGGAAGAGTAGGAAACCATTTGCAGATGCTGGAAGGCAGAGAGCAGCAAGGCTGCCTGGACTAGAGGAGCCAGTGAGGACATGGGCAGCTGAGGAGAGCACATGCATTTCTCTGGTCCCTTTTAAGCAGTGATCCAGCTGCTGAATGCTCTGTGAAGCACAAGGGAAACAGTTGGGAAAGCCAACACCCACACTGAATGTACTAGAGCATATCTCCTATTGTCACCCACACAGCCAGAAAGTAACCAAGACCTGCATTTCAGGCCCATACTGATGGCCCGTACTTCAAATTAAGATGGTCCATACTTCAAATTTACAAGGGGAATTTGGCATCTATCACCTCAAACAGAAGGGGAGGAGAGACTGCAGTTCAATTGTACCAAAGTTACAGAAGTGCCATCCAGATGTCCAAGAAAATCCTTAAGGACAGTCCCAAACAAAAGTACGAAGAGCAGAGAAATGGCAGGAGGGCTCTTCCCCACCTGCACCTGCTTTTCAGTTTACAGGTGTTCAACCTCCCCAAAAAGGCCAGAACCAGGATGGAGATGAGCTGAACAGGAGTGGTGTTAGGGCAAAAGAGTCATCTGCCTGTGTCCAAATCACACTGAGACCAGTGAGCCCCCCTGAGCTGGTCTCCCTTAACCTGGGCAAAGGAACCCAGGAGCTGAGCCAGACTTTTGGACTACTCCAAAGTGAGCAGAGGCAGCACAAGCCCAGAGCCCAGGACCATTCTCAGACAGCAGGGAAGACACAGCAAGACAAAAAATCCCAGGGAACTGGAGAACCAAGAGAAGATGTAAGAGAGCCCTCAGTTGTGAGGTAAGTTGACCTGAACATGACTCAGCTGTAGGTATAAATTGAGTGATAAAATACTTGTTTTTTCTTAATAATAATAATAAAGAGATCAGGACCAACAATTACAGAAAATATACATTTTGAACATATGTGGATTTTCAGGTGGGCAGGACCTTGAACTAGGGCTGGAGTTTCAGAAATAGAGGGGAAGACCTGCTTATGAAATCAAAAATAGTTTAATTTCTACACTTTAAGAGTTTTTAGGACAAACAAAAAAAAAAGCAGATACAGAGGCATAATCCATGGAGTCCCACCTCTGAAGACATGCAAGGTCTCTTGCATTAGTCGTCACATGTAAGTGATGCCTTTACCTGAACGAGATAATGTGAGATATTCCTGGAAGACCTCCTCATAGTTTGCTGTAATGCATTTTAGAAGAGACAAAGACTCAGCAATGTTTCAGTATTTTAATTTAAAAGACAGAACAGAAATCTTGACAACAGTTTCAAATGTATTACCATTCATCTTTGTCCACAAAACTGAATGTACAACTCACAGTACAAAAATGTTCTCAGCAGGAAACATTGCTTTGTCTAAATTTGGGCAGAACTTAACATACTACAATGCCATTTAGTACTACTACTGTTCATGTCCAGCAGCATAATTAAACAAATTGCTAGCAACAGATTTTAAGCAGAACAAAGGCAGAACGAGGGATATGTGACATTTCATAATTGCTGCAACAAATGACTATGCTTGGCTTTAGACAAATCTCAAGAATTAGGACTATCCTCAAAAATATACACTGAGCAGCCAGGAGCAGTAGCACACAGCCATATATATGTTATTGCCACAAAGTGGAATTGTTGAAATAACTAGTCTAAATAAAAGGCCAAGATGCAGCAAGAGTAAGGTTCAAAAGCAACACAAAAACACCTAAAAAGCAAGTTGAGATTCAGTTTCCAGTGTCAGTGTCAATATACACAGTATAATTGACACTGTATTATTACCACTTATTAAACAGCATTTGCAAACATGAAATCACCAGGCAGGAAATTTATGGGACACAGTGGTAAGGTTCTGGTAGAATGCTTCTCAGCACCTCCTGTTGAGCTGTGGTGAAGGGCATCACTGCAAATCAAAGTCTGCATCCTATTTTGGAATTTACCACATGTTCTACCAACATTTCTCTAGGGTTCTCCAATATTAACATTCCTATGTGTAATAAATAAATAAATAAAAATATAATTTTTTTTCTTACTTAAAAAAATATTTTATAAAGTGCATGGACAGTTTTCAGGAGATGCTTATTTCTGTCATTGTGGCAAAGTGCTGTAAATCAATACTGTGTTAAGGAAGTAAAATTTCACTCTTAACCTTGTCTGTAAGTGGGGCTGTCACTTCACTTCTGCATGGTGCCTCTTTCCAGAAACTGAAGATTAGTGTTCAGGTAGAACCTTCTGGTCAGGGCTATTGAACCAAATGAAGGGATGAAGGGAAGAGAGACCCTTGCAAAGATTCAGATACAACCTTTACTGTCTTGTGTGAATCCACAAACTAGACAGCTGTGGAAATAGGACTCTCATCTCTTTTCCAAAGGTGTAAGAGATCCAAGCAGCCTTTCTCTTCATTGACTCTGTAGAGCAAAATGCAAACTTTACATGCCTGAAGCTGGGCACTGTGCATACTCCTCAAGAAGCTAAAATTATGCCAGGATTAAGCTCAACCCCCCTGTTACCTGTTATCAATTTATACCAGTGAATGCTCCAAGGCTGCTCTGCTGTTACAATTGAGTTGATATTTTGCAGAATACAATTTAGAATAATTGCACTTAGCAGGGCCTAACCGGTAAGGATGAGAAAAATCAAAAATTAATATATAAAAATGCTTCCTTCATGCTACCTTAGCATAATCTGCATTAGAAGAGACACAGAAGAATAACTTTCCAATCTAATGCACCATGATCAAAACATGCTCACCATCCCAATGTCTTCTCTCTTAAATCATCTGCCAAAGCATCCAGCTAGGAAAGAAAGATGAGAAAGTGGCATCTAAAAGGCATCCACAGAAGGCAATGGCGCTTGGATTAGCAAAGGAAGATGGCAACAGTGTCTCTCAGAGTCTTTGCAGCTTTCCTCCCACTCTCACTCAAACGTAACATGATGGAGGTAGAGGAGATGGGGAGGTCATTTCATACCTATTTTACCCTGCTTTTGGTATCTAAACATGCAAGAGCACCAATATTTAGAAGCCTAAAGTTCCCAGATAGTTGACAAATTGAGTAGAGAAACCTCTTCTTTAATGGGTTGAACCCTCAAACTCTCATCACAAGGGGGAAAAGATAATGATGAACACCCTGTACTTACCTTGCTAAAAAATTATGTATCAGAGTAAAATGTGGTTTGTAACATATTTTTTAAAAGCATAGAGCAGATTTCTTCTCCACTGATGCAGCTTCAGTTATTCAGGTCTGTGTGGAAAAAGACTTCAGAAACATAAGCTCTGTTGCATCTATTTACTCAGGGCAGGAGTTTATGAATCAATGGTAAAATTGTGGTTATTTCCTCCTAAAAATTATCCTTGAATAAACCATTCACGAACCTTCAATACCATAAACACAGATAGATGGAAAAGGAAGGCTTTAGTGTAATTCCTGTCTTTCTGTCTTTTTGTTCAGCCTGGTGACACACAGAACATGATGACGCACAATTATAGGCAATTAATTCAAATATCCGGGAAACAAGAAATCACATCTGCAGTTAATCATCTTGTGCTTTTTCCAAACCATAAACTGTTTTTATAGAAGGAGAGAACAAAGATATGAGAGATATAATTAAATGCGACATTTCCCGTAAATCAGACGCTTCCTACAAATGTGCCGATAACATCACAGAGCAGCAAAACGTTCCAAATTGCTCCAGTGTTTATATGATGCTCATCATCTCTCCCAGGCTATGATGGCTGTGATGCCTATTATGTTCTACCACACTGCAGAACTGTCACTGCTAAACCAGGAGGTAATTTCTCTCTGCTACTCCAAATCTCATCATGGCAAAAACCAGCGCCTTGACCAAAATTGCTTCCCAGGTGAAATTGTTCCTTTCATATGCTCAACTGCAGTTGATCCCTGCAGCCTATTCATAGCCCAGCTTGTAATTTCAGGCGTGGGCTCAGGTGATGTTTGGCCCTCTGGAAGGAAAAGGCAGAACTTGAAGTCCGTGTATGCACTGGGTGACACCTCCCAGAAGAGACCATTCATCACAAACTCTACCATAGCACCAAAATGGGCAGAAGTTGAAGCAGTAAAGTATAAACTCTTTTCTTTCTAAGCAAGACCTGATTTAGCTAAGATGTTTATGCTTAGAAGGTTAGGAAGTACCGTTCAAAAAAATTAGACAAACTCTTGTACTCCATGCAAGAGTAAATTCAGTTTAAAATTATTTTAAGGTTTTCAATTTGGCAAATGAAAAAGTGCCCAGTTTGAGGTTCAGCTTGGAGTAGTTTTGTGTTCTTACTATTTTTCTCATTTTCACCATCAAAATGAAACAAAAGCAAACCATCCAAAGCCCAGTGTTCCTCTACAACTCTGGCTAGAATTTTACCTCAAATGATAATTTTCTTTAGATTCAGCAGCTTTATCTGTTTGAATCAACAATCTAGCAAAAAAAAAATATCAAGTTTGTGCCTACATGTCCATGTGATATCATTATTTCCAAAATAAATTCAGTTTTAGTACAAACAACCAAGACAACCTATAACAATTGTGTTAAAGCCAGAGGTAGTTTAGGTGCTAAAAGTTAGGGTTGGTTTTGCTTTCGAAAATACTGATAGAAAAAAATTATCTAATACTTAAAGACAGACTATTATGATCAGAAAAAGGTCATAAAATGTTATGTGCTTCATATTTGTGCTCTAATTTATCAGCTTGCAGCATCTGCAGCACAGAATTGTAGAATCATAGAATTATTTAGATTAGAAAAAGGAAAAGCCAGGTATACTACACTAGACTTGCTTCACTGCCCATTTGGAGCCAAACTTCTGAAGAAAATGAAGAATAAAGAAGGAAAATGAAGTCAGTTTTCTTGAGTAGCTACTGAATTTTGGCTACCAATCTGAGCTTCTCTAAGAGAATTTTATTTTCAAAGATTACTCAATAGTTTGTGAAAACTGTGAGTCTCCAACTGGACAAGAAATACCTCCAATGACTTCAAAAAGTCATATCACAATTTTGATAGAAAATATTCATAGTGAAATAAATAATTTTATTAAAACTCCTATTTTTAACATAAATAAATATTTTCCAATAATATTAGGATTTTAAAAGACTGGTTGTGAACTTCCCTGTAGTTTCCAGCCAGTGAAACAAAAAACAGTATAAAATACCTCAAAAAAAGGACATTAAATTTTAAGGTTTTGAATTCAGCTCTAAACACTTGTATGTAATTGTACAATTACAGATGTCAAAATTTCCTTCTGTAGTTACTTAGCTATCAGTTCATATTCTATTGTTCAGTCTAGATTTCTTGCAATTTCTGGATTATGCAGAATATTTAGATCTCTCAAGTTAGATATTATGGTCTTTTTCTTCACAGAAATATTTGAATATTGGTGTTTTGATCTACAGGCAACAACACACTCTTTGATAGTTTGTGGGTTTTTTCCAGTAATCTACATAAATTTCCATGTATTTCAAATTGTTTCCTTAGTACTAATACTATATTTCCAAAAAGAAAACATTGGAATTAAAAAATAAAAAAGAGAAGAAAAGTTATAGATTAATTTACCAGTACAAATAGAAAGCTGTGTTCTAACTCTGGAAAATCCAGAAGAAAGGTTTTTCTTTCAGTTTCCTGATCTTCCTTTGTCTTATACCCTGAGAAATCACATACCATACAATTATGTTATTATCCAATAGGACAACATGTGTCCTTGAGAAAACATTATAATCCTGTTTCATTATGGTAGAATTAGCCCACAAAAGCTATTCAAAGCAGCATGCTCTTCACAAATAACCTGTGTATCCCAAAGGATGAGGGATCTGAATAGGTGGAAAAGTCACTTTTGGAATCCAAATGGCAAAATTACTGTTGAACAATTGTCATGGTCAATCAGATTAATGATTGAACTGGCCAAGACCCACATATCATTTAATCCACTGTTAACTCACAGAGGGATGTTCAGGAGAAAAAATTCCTGTTCTAGTTAATAATTATTGTGCATGGGCACATCTGAGTGGGATCCCAGACCTTCCAGAGAAAATTCTACAGTTTTGCAAATCATTTTGGCATGTGCTTCAATCTCATTATTTTACTACATGATCTGTTGAATCAAGTTCTTATCTAATTATGTCCAAACCTGGTATATGTCTTATCTCAGCAACATACATAGGGACAGGCATGTGGAGTAGACAGACTCCATCTGTTCAGTGACATCAGAAGATCCTGTTAGAGCTGTCACAATAATATCATATAGTTCTGAAAACTGTTTGAGGATTTGCTACGTTTTGTTTTCATTAGAGCTTCTTTGCTTACATTGAACCAAGTCTACCTTTTATACAGTGCATTAAAACACCCCCGAGAATGCCTGTTCACCAGCACTGCTCACCTGCTGCCCATTTCTAGTGTGCAACACACTCCACTGGCCTTCCTTGGCTGGCTGCTTGGTCCCAAGTGCACCTCTGCACAGCCCAGCAAGTAAACATGGTAAAGAAATGCTGTTTGTTACCCTTCATACCATTATGGCTCCTTAACTTTCAAATACCACAGCACAGACTCACTCTGAATCTGCTTGCACTGTACCAGTGCTGCCTTCTAGGCCATCTTTGACCCAGAAGGAGATATGTAAACCTGGTGTTACTTTTTAAATTACCAGCTAGAGAATTTGCTCATTCTGAGCATCCCACAAGCAGAATTGCTCATCACCTGCACACCAGTCATCAGAAGGGACAGAGAAAGCCAATCCCATCTCTGTACAAGGTCCAATTCTCACTGGCTTCAGGGGAAATATAATTCACACAGGAAACCTGGGTAGAAAATGTGTGTGTGAAAGTGCAGAATGCATTGGAATCTCACTCAGAGCCTTAACATCCGAGAGTACAACCCTTCCCCTTGTTCAAATGGGCAAAGTGGCAAGACCCAGAACACTACTGAAGTCAGGAGTATATGTTGTACTCCTTAGCAGTTAAAGTCTTTCAGAGTCTGCGTTTTCCCATGCTGGATCTCAGCATTAATATTCCCTCCACTGGAACTCCTGGACTGTCAATCATCCTCTGCCAGAGGTGCTGCTCTTCCCCCTGAGAGTCCATCCAGTCAACCTCCTTGCCATTACTTACACCTGAGAATTACAAAAACACATTTTGGCATATTAGGAAGCAGTTACTTAATATCACTGCTCATTTGCTAAAACACTGTACAAAAAAATGCTGAGCACTTTACACTACCATCTTACAGGGAGCTATAGTGAAAACAGGTAGCTCCTGGAAAGCACCAGTTTGTCATAAAATTCCTTTGTGGCACAAGACCAGGGGCATATAAACCTTCCCACTCTGCACTACAAGCAACTTTTTCCTGACAGAGGAGGAATGGATTCACACCTCTTCCAGGTCATCATCGGTGGAAAGGCTGCTGCTGGATAAAAGAAGTCTCCTCCTTCTCATTGGGATGCTAAGGAACACTTCAAGGTATTCACAGTTCTTCTAGACTGTGCAGAAACACAACTGGGCACACAATTTTTGTGTCTCACTAAGTAAAGGAAAGAACTAAATTATCTATGCTTATCTAAATTATCTATTACACATTGCCTCCTCTCCCTTATCAATTTCCCCAAGTTCCCATATACTTTCCAAACACTGTAACATTTCTGTCCTTTCCACACAAGTCATGTGGGGTGAGGAAGGAGTAGAGCAAAACAAGAAGAGCGATCATGAGTCAGATGGGACCTTACCATTCCCAGTGCTCAAACGGACACCTCCCAAAAAAATATTGCTGGAAAGTGACTCCTTGTCCCACACAGTCAGTTCCAGGCAGACGTTGTGTATATCCCTTGAATTCAAGCCACTGAAGGTGAAGGTGTGATTCCACTGGGGGTTCACGCTCTTTTTTACTATGGGAGTTTTGTGTTTTGTAGCTTTGCTGTCATCTGGGAGCAGGTACCTGTGAGGTACAGAAAAGGAAAACTGAATATGTAAATGGGTTGTTGCATAATATTCACAAAGAGTTACAACAATGTAAAGGCTCAAATGGGATCAGAACCCCATCTCCCCACTAGTATTAAGTTGAGTATATACCTGAAGTACATATTTTGCATTTGTGCTTAATTTGTTCCTATAGTTACAGTGTCAGTTATCACCAGCAGAAATTGGAATTAGGTCTCTTTGCCCCAAGACTTGGGTCGCATCCACATATTTTTTATTTCAGTGAGGCTAAATATAGACAGAATCATAAATCATTGGCTAGAAGGGGCCTCTGGAGTCACCTTGTCCAATGTCCCTCTCAAAGAAGGACAAGAGACCCTCTAGAAGGAAATGGAAATGACTGATAAGGAACTTGAGCAAGTTAGCATCATAAATTTGAGTTGCCTAAAGCCCCACTGAGTGCAGAAACACAAATGCTGACAACTTCTTCACATTTTACTTGTAGTGGAGAATTCCTTTAGTGAAACTGAAAGAATTTAATATTTTAATTGAAAAATCAAGTTTTTATAGTCTTTACCTTGACCTTCTTCAGGAAAGTTGATGGAATAACTATGTGATTGCACATAAGTACTAAAGGGTCAAACACACAAACAAATTATATCGCTAGACCTCGATCAGGTTTTCTGTGTAGGCTTTTACTTGACAATAAACATGAGCTAATTTACTGCAGTGGGTTAACTGTGGGCTCCTTTATGTTGTCAAATTACCTCAAGCTGTAATTAGAACACTGCAGAACCTCAAATGGTTTATGGCAACTCCATTATGCTTTTGGCCACGACACATGACAGACCAATAGTCCAAGGAAAACAGAGCCCCGTTCCACTCTACTGAGTAATCCATGTCAACATGTTAGTGGAAGTGTTTTCTTTTGCCAAAAGTGTTTTATAACATCAGGTACATCAGCAACTGGATGCTTATGTTTGAATGGTTCTGTTTCTTGACTCAGAGGTATACAAATATGTTTGCATTTAACCCCTGGGACAACTCATACCTCTCTGCCCCTATTCCACAGCATCCTTCTCTTCAGCATACAATTTCAAGGTGCCAGTTGCTTTTCAGGGCTGACACTCCACTCACACACATATACAGATATATTGAAAAAAATTGGGTCAGACGAAATATGATTCGGTGCAGCCATTAAAAAAAGGTGGAGAAAAAAAAAGCCACAAACCCTTTCACAAAAGTGTCAGATGTGCCTCCTGATTTCACTGCTGTTAAATTCTTTGCTTCTTTGATGAGGACTTCTAATATACCTCCAGATGGCAGGTGAGAATCTCCTTTTTTTCCTTTTTTAAAGCTCTTCTTTCCTATACATAGAACAAAGCTGCAACATCATCATCAGCATCAGAAATTATATATATACTGTAAGACTGATTTGGAAATATGAATTGTCTTGGCTAGATTTTTTAAAATAATTTACTGCAATGGGATCAAAACATTCCTTATGAGAAGATTCTGATTCTCTATGGGTAGAGAAAATAGTAAGACAGGAGCAGAAAGGTCACTCCATATTTGATAAAGAACTTGACCATGTAACTAGCTATTCTTTGCAGGACACAACAGCGTGTCCCATCTGAAGTCCTGTGAGAACATAAGTATTTGTGGATTACTCTGCTGAACACAAAGGACTCGTGTGCTGTAAATCCTACTCGCTTTACAGAATCCGCTTCCACTGCTGATGTTAAGGCAGCCCTGGACCATAAAGCAAGCTATAAAACCTTTGTCCCAAAGCTTAAATCCAGAAAGAAACCAAATGTATCCTATGTGTAAGGATGCACAGCTCCTCAGAGACCATATGAAGGACAGAGTACTCACTGACACGCTACTGCTTTCAAAGAGCAGCACAAGGACATGTGTCCTTGCTGCTGCTGCAAATTCTAAGAAGCTTGTCAGCAGGGATCATACACCCTGATTCAGTATGAAAACATCAGAAATACAGATCAGGAGAGATGCTAAAAGATATTAATTTAAAAAAATGCAGACAGCATATCTGGACTCAGCAGACAACAGTCAGCTTTTAAGAGAGAAAACCTTACTGCTAGCAGAGGGAATGTCATCTGTCCAAAAAAAGGCAAAGAAAGATATCTGATGTATCTATCAAATCCAAATGCTAACAAGCAATACTGTTGCTAAGACAGTGATTGCTTTCACTTCAAAGGACTGCGGTTCCTCATGCTACTACAAGGCAAAGAGCTAGTAGCTATTTTCCCCTGTTCATTGCTGACAAAAATAATGATTCACCCTAAAGAACTTAAATTAAATTTCGCAGGACTAAATTACAGCAGTAATACAGTAAGACTGAGCAGAGGAAAAATGGTGTGAAAAAAAGAGTGAAATTGAGGAGACAGCTTAACGAGAATTAAGCATCAAGGACTAAGTGAAGTCTATTACTTTGATCAGCTAAACACTGTATATAACTAGCTGAACAAAGTACTCACAGACTGTGATGCGGACAATTTATTTCTCTGTGACTGCCCTTGACTATGTTATCTAATGTCTGGATTTTTTTTAGTTAGGTCACAGACACACAACAGCCCTTGACTGCACACTCCCCTTATCTCCCCTGAAGTTCAGTGCAAGTGAAGAGAATGGAGCAGGAGAAACATATTCATGGTTCAAAATTTCCACGGATGAACACAATTAGCATATTTAAGAATGATTTTAATCTTCACTAGTACCATTACTTCTCCCCAGGTGAGGATTTTTAATACTCAGAGGGATGCTATATTATAATGCTACCATTAATGTTTGTTTTACCTTGAAACTGCCCTAGAGGAAGCATTAGGTTTCTGTCTGGGGGAATGTAACGTAAAACAACTGTCAGCTCTCCTTTATATTGAAGTCCAAAATCTGTTGCAACCTCCACCTGAAGAGAAAACAAACAAACCAGCCAAGGTTAATCATTCATATCTCTCCTTTTGATTTCAATTTTGTTATACTAACATAGTGTTTGAAACAGTTCTTAAACATATCAAGACACACCAGGCCACTTTCAGGTAATTAGACATTCCAGGTTGAAAGCACTCATGCTTTGGAAAACTTTCCGAGCCAGGGAATGCAAGCTCTCAGAAAAATAAACCCATGTGGCATTAGACACTGTTCAGTGAACATACAGAGGAGAAAGTTATCTAGCATGAATAAGTGAAGCAAACCAACAGCAAAAAAACCCTTAAAACTTATTTCTGGGTATATAAGCTGTAGCTGATTTAAGCTGACAGTCATCCCTTATTTCCTCCAGTCAAGATTTTAAACTGCATTTAGTTTCATGTATTTTAGAGAAGTCACTCCTGAGTTACTCTTGGAATAGATATGTGGGTTAAAGAGGTGAGGGGGAGCAGACTACAGCTCTGAAACAGAAAAACTTCTTGAAAACTGTTGTTCTCAATGTCCTTTTCCTTTTCTACACAGCTACAATTTCTACATTTCTGCACCTTTTTGCTTTATAAACACTTGAATCTTGCCCAGGAAGAATGCATTCAGTGCTCCTCAGACCATCCTTGTTAAAATAATGTTAGGCCTTCACTGGCAGCGTGCTGAACTTCCATTCACATTGTAAGAAATTAGAAACTTCATTTTAGAACAACAGGTGTAACACAGAGGGAGCTGCCCGTGGCAGGGTGTTTGGAACTAGATGACTTGGTCCCTTCCAACCCAAGTCATTCTACAAATTGATTTCTGTCCATGCTTCAGTGCTTAGGTTTGGGTAGCAGTAAATCTTCCTGATCTCCTCACAGGGACAAAGCACATGTGTAAAGGGAAAGGATCCCTCCAGAACTGAAAAACACACACCAAGGCACCACCTGAGCCTTAAAGAACTGTTTGTAGATGAATGTCTGATCTGTGACTGTATTTCTCTGAGATGCATTCAGCTTGTTTGCTGACCCCCCAGAAAGGTCAAAATTCTATTAGCAAGAGAAACAACCAAAAAAATCTCATCAGAAATACATACAGTGATACACACAGAGTCAGCATTGCCTTTATATCATAGATTCCAGGTTGAGGCACTAACCATGCTCAGTGGGGCTAAGTCTGCACCCAGGGACGGGACAGAGAACAAAGCAGTTTTAGTGATAACAACATGGCCCTTTTGTGACTTTGAAGCAGTTTTGCAGCAACACAGACATTGCTGCACTGACTAAGGAACACAGTCTTCTCACACCAGTGTCCATTGTCAGCTGCTACTACAAAGGACAAAAGAAAACCTGTAGCAGATGGCTGTGGAATAATTTGCACAACATCTACATTTTACCAGTCGGGCAGCTCACTTATGGTCTAAATTAAGCAAGTTTGGGATCAACTTTCCCATAAAGGCAGCAAGGATTAATTTGTTTTCTGTTCTGCCAGTGGACAAGAAATTATGTAAGTTCTAATATCAGAAAAAATTTATCAACCTCTCCCCCAAACCCACATACAACATGACTCTAGACTCTGTCCCCTCTTTAACCACAGAATTACTTTCTCTCCTTTTTCTGATTTAACCACATTCCTCTTGAAAACAGGCCTTTCAATGCTCATAGAAGGAACATGTCTTAAAGTCTCCAACCTTTCCACTAAAGGAACTAAATGATTCATGACAGAACAAATAAAGCACTGTAATAAAACCTGGGAAATGTTTCACTGGCATTATTCCATTGCTGTCTCTATCAGGCAGTTCATATAGGAGAACAGTATGTCATTTGCATGTATTTTAACCAGTACTTTTTAAAGAAGTATTATACTTGCTAATCAAAGACCCTAGCAGCGTTTTAAGTTCAGAAACATTATATATAGCAACTTAGGAGGCAGACAAGACCGATTCTGTGTTTGCTTTCTTTGGTAAAAATGAGGTAATTTAAAAATCTTTAATGAGTTTGAAAATAACAAGACAGCACCTTCCAGCTGAAATTGCTGAAATGCTTAGCTACTTTACTACTTTTTTTCCTGAGCAGGAAAGCTTCATGACTCTTTTTCAGTCTTTTTCTTTTTTTTTTTTTTCCCTGTTAAGATTAAAAGAAACCACCCATACCCACACAAATCCTCAAAGACTGAAATGAGGTGACAGAGAGACTACTGCACGATAAGCTCAATTTCAGACCATACAAACTGCAAGCAAAACAACTACTAGATGTGTGTGTTACTGTTGTAGACAGGTGGGTACTAAATAAGAGCAACACCTGACATCAGTCAGAGCTGTGACGGAGATGGAGTAGACATTTCTTCTACTTCAAGAGCAGATCCAAGAAAAGTGATTTAAATGAAGCAAGCTTGTAAGAAGAGGACGGTATAATCATGGCCTGAACACAGTGCTGGCTGAAACATGTTTGCCATCACCAGCCAATTCCTGTTCCTGGTCTCACCTGGTCTTGTCCATGAAGGAAGAGCTAGTGGTCATCCCCATAAAGTAAACTGAACTAGAACCCTGCCTCTTATAAAGCATGAGGTGTATAAGTGTTCAAAAGAAAGATCAATTTCCATATATATCTTCTGGCAAATTATTTACCAAAAATATAAATTTGTGACAATTTAAGTGTAAGCCTTGCAAAGGGCTACACCTAGAAATAAATTATACAACAATTGGATCCCTCTCCCACCCGAGAGAAAGACACAAACCAAACACATTCTCCTGAAACTCCAAATATAATACCATTTCTTTACACAGAACAAACAAGTCATGAGTCAATTTGACAACGTTTGTTGTATGCCTCATATTTTTCCACAACAAGAAAGATACATTTTCTGAAATGGTAGAATTCCTGGGGATTAAGGCTGCTGCAGGAGCAAGCAAGGCAGAAGCCTTTAATCCTCTAGTTTACAGTAGGTCTTCGAATCTTTTCCAAAAATAAATACCTTTCCCAAAGCAGGTGGTGCACTAGAGACAGGAGTCATCCTGTCCTTCATTAAGTACAACGTTTCACAGACCAGTTGATTTGCTGGCTGAGAAGGCTTATCAGGTACCTTTCTAGTTAAGGTGAATGAGAGATTAAGAAGTCATTTTGTGACAGTTGAAAGGCGTAAAGCACTTCAAATTGGAAAAAAAAAAGTCTGTTTCTTCAATAAACTCTTAGAGGTTGGGTAGGGAGAGTGGTAGGAAAGCTCTTTGTTTTATGTGCTATTTTAAAAAAATAATCTATTTACTAGGTCATTTTTCTATTGCAGTTTATTACAAGATGAACTTATGGTTTATTTATTTTTTTGTTGTTGTTTTTAAGTAGCCAATCACATGTGAAGTTTTCATGAAGACTTTAAAACCAGTAATCCTTCACTGAATAAAGAACAAAGATTTTTTTTTTAATTGTCATATTAGACACTCATAAAGTCCTGCTTTAAAAACAAGTTCCAAAGGAAAAAATAACTAAATGTTGCTAAATTTGCTTCACAGCACTTTCACCAGCCCTGGAAAGCCTTACCTTGGGCTGGAGCACAAACCACTCATCGCCCTGATTTTCGAAGTTCCAGGAATCGAATGGAATTTCCACTTCCCCAAGGAAGCTGTTGCGTCCAAATCTGTCATAATGCCAGACAGAAAGCTGTAGGGTCCTGGTTTCCAGCTGTGTGTGACTGATGACATACTACCAACAGAAAAAGAGAAAAAACCCCTTTCAGAATAAGCAGAAATAATAGTTTCCACTGAGCCTTTAGCAGCTATAGCTCAATTTCACAGAGCCCACAGCAGCTAACAAATGGAGCATGAAAAAAGATTTGTTTTCCATGCAAACAAGATTGAGCTAGCCAGAAAGCTCATAATGTTAATGTAAAATCTATTTTCTTTGCTGTATGCATCCTGTAGTAATTTATGTTACTATCACAATTATGGCTTTTTTCCCCTATTGTTTACTGGGTATTTATGGCTATAAAGTAAATTATGATGCTTAAAACTATGATTCTGTTAATTCTTTACAAGTTTATGCAAAAGAAGCAGATCAACATCAAAGTTTGGTTCATAAGAAGAAAGCCTATTGGTTCTTTCATCCCTAAACAGTGTCTGCTGAACACTACTTTATAGAAGGCATCCTCTCCTTTCCAGTTTTATCTCTGTAACTTATGAAAAATTGTTCTGGAAGCACATACAACTGCATCTGCAAGGCATGCACTGAGCATATCAGTCTTAGTAACCATTGTTGGTTTTGAACACTATTAAAAAACTCATCTGAAAAAGCATTATAGTCTAGCAAATACACAGAAGATTATAAACATCTGGAATCTAGCTCTGCACACTCTGCTTTTAGCAAAAAGCTCATTAACTCCCTGAAATTCACTCTTCTCGTAGTGTTGGCTGAAGAAACCCAGATGCCTTATTTTTGCATCAAGAAGAGTGTCTGAACAGAGACACACACTCTCCAAAAGCTGAAACAGTCGAGTCAGTTGGCTGTTAATGTATAGATGTTTCTACAAAGCTTAATCCCAGATGCCAACACAGTTCCACTGTGAGAAATGTCAAATGGAGTAAAAGTCAAAGAGGGAATATACAGACAGACTGAGTTACTTTTCTTTTTTTTTTTAAACAGGACTTTCAGTTGGGATGAAGAGATGTAGCCCTTGCTTACCTACCCACAATTCAAGCAACCCCTTTTTGTGACAACTTGTATTTTTCAGGAGTTTCTAGGTCATATCCTCACCCAGTTCCCTACCAGCAAACATCTTTAGTGGTATGTTACTTGCTAAATTAAGTCTAATACCTTCTTTTTTCCAGTTCAGGCAAGTCTTAACTTTACTATATACCATTTAAAAATAATGCTATAAAAGAGACTCTCCCTTGGCAAGCAGTCCTGCCAGACCAAGTGTGTGTGTCTGCAAAATGGTTTTGTAGCCAGGTTAAGCCGAGTATACTGGCCAGGGAACATCTATTTGTCTCTATTATAAGAAACTTATTTAAAACATAACTGAAACTACAAAAGAAATATTTCAGGAGAAACTAAAAGTGGTTTCTGGCCTCATGACAGCCAGTTGGATAACTCTCTTCAATTGACAGCAAAGGGAATAAATCAGGAGCCTTGAGTTCCAGGTCCCAGACAGGCAGTGAACTCTGCTATTCCCACTGCACCACAGAGCCAGGGAGGTGAATAAGAGGCTTGTGAGGAGCTCAGAATAGTTCACCCTGTGTAATGGACATGGGTTAAAGGCAAGGAAACAAAGGACATTGTGCTCCATCAGTCCTGAAGGAAGTAATTCATCTTTATCTTTTGCAATAGAGAATGAACTTTGCCACAGCTTTTTAGGGAGGCTAGTAGAGAAACAGTTGTTGATCTTTTCTTATCAAAGTCAGTTCTGCTTTCATAATAAATTAAAGCCTCCAGAAGATTTCAGATCTTACTGCAGGATGTTATTTTTCTCTTCAAAATCAGTTAGATGGGAAATTTGAAGGTAGCTTTACTCCAGCATCAGGCACACAAAATCTTTAAGGTGCTTTTAACAACTCTAAGCTCAGGTTAGATGGGAACATCAACAGTTTTGAAAGAGATCTATAGAAACTAATAGCTGTTTTACCTGTAAAGGGGAGAACCAACCAAAAACAGCTCTTTAATGCTGGAAGCCAGAAATCACAGCTTATATGTTTACTAAATGCTTTTGCTTAAACACCCTCCCTTTTGAGGCATCTCTTCCAGATTCTAATCCCCATACTGGAACACATATAGAAAATACCTTTGAGAACAAGTGAAACATTCATCACAGCCTGAGAGAGAGACTGTTCTCACCTTCAGCAACTCATTAAATTCTGGATTGGTGCTGTTACTTTTAATTTTGGTCTTGCGCTTACTTTGGCGGGACTTATCAGGCAGAAGGTACGCCTTGACATATCTGCAGATCAAGCAGTAAATTATTAACAAGGAATAAAAAATGGCCAATTTGAGCAAGGACCTGACATTGCTGCATCAGCAACACACATGAGGAAATTAATTTTTTCAGTATAAACAGTGTAAATGTGCAACAGAGATGAGAAACATGGAAAGATATAGTCTTTACCTGCAAACATAGAAATGTTAGTCAGACAGGATCAGAATAACAAGAGGCAGAGCTAAATTAATTTACTTATCCTCAGAAATGCAGCAAGCTCTCCTAACACTATCCCTTTCACAGTATACGATTAATGGTTGGTTACATAGGACAAAGAACACACTAAAGTGAAAAGAAAATTAAAAACTTCATAACTTAAATACAACATAATTACTTATGATTAGAGGCACTAATTATTACTGTCTGATGAGAGAATTTACATTATACTGAAAACTATAATGAGAAACTCAGAAAGCATAGTACTTGCAAAGTGAGTCTATGGATGCATGAAAACAAGGTTATCTCTATCCCTCCCTCTCATGACTCCTCTCATGTACATTAGTTTTGATTCTAGAAGTAAAAAAATTGATGTTACCTCTCTATTACTTCATATTTTTGTCCTGTTACTATTAAACAGGTTTATAATTTAAGTAATCATATTGTTTCCCCAGAGCAGGCACATGTTGCCCTAAGAAGCACATGGAAAATGCACTTCCCATGGGGAACCCAAACCCAGCCATCACTGAAATGCAGGCTGGTAATTCACAGGCTCATATCACAGCCCCAGATTACAGCGTGTGATGTGGAGAAGGACATCCCTAGCAGAGTTTAAGGAAATTCTTCTCAGTGCTTACGGATCTGTCCTTTGCTTCTTCTCATCTCCAATGGCCAGGTTTCTGCAGCTCTTCACCAGGATGTTGAGGGCACCTGTTTTGTAGATGTAGTTGATATTGAGAAGGATTTCACCGCTGACCTTCACGTTGCCATAGTCACCAGTTTCACTGTATACACTCAGCATGCTGTTAATGCTTGTCTGGAGGGGGAGAGAAAAAGGTCTTGGAGGCTGAAACACATTATTCTTTTCCAGAACCTGCTTTCTTCATGCAGCTACAGCCATGCAATATTATCACACTTGTTAGGACTTGCTATGAAAACACATATCATAGAATAGAAATACCACAATTTGGTGTAAAAGGGAATGAGAATTAGAGTTAATAGTAGTTTAAATGTCTAGACAGATTATGTTTTTACATGCAGGATTCAAAAATCTGTTTATAATCTTAGTTACCACCTTTTAATTAATGGATGAACTGAAGAGTAGACAGGCTACATAAATTGCAAGCTCACATAGGTTCCAAGCAGAAAAAAAAAAAAAAATCACCTCCTGGCTCATCTGGTCACCTAAATTTTACTGATTACCATAAGACAACTACTGACAGAATCCTTAGAAAAATGTATGACGATGCTTCCCGTATTAGAGATGGTATAAAACCCTATTTGTTTAAAGTGCAACCCACCTCTCATTAGCAATTTTGTAACAATGAGTAAAATTCAAACCCCACCATTTCTGCAATTTTTGTAAAGCCAAAAATGTTGGCAATAATCCCACAAATTTTCCACTACAGCATAATATATCACCCCCCGATCCCTTTTTCTTCACAGTAATAAGATGTAGAGTATTGCCATGAGGATTTCCTCTTCCAAAAGTTTACAGTTAGGAAAGAACTGAATATTTCTTAAAGAAAATCAGAGCAATATGCACACTGCCAGAACATTCAAGAAAGCTGGTGCACATTTTCTTTTGGGTCATCGAGCAAGATTTCTCAAAAACATATATAACCATCAAAATTCTACAACATAGGACCCTTGCAAGGCACACAGGTAACAGTCTTCAAGAAAAAGGGAGAAAAGAGAGATAAACCTTTAAAGTAAGCTAAGCAGAGGATTCAGGAGAACTCACAGTGTCACCGTCTTTTTCAGGCACATTTAAATATGTCCACTTTCTGTCAGAGCCTTCTGGGGAGTTCTTTAAAGAAGGCAGTGCAAGAAGATCAAGAGAAAAGAGCATTAGATTGCTGCAATAAGAATAAGTGAAGTGAGAAATCTTTACCTATACAGACAGGAAAAGGAAGTTTATATTGCAAAGCCATAGTGAGAAAGGAAGAAAAAGGGTATCACCAAATCAGAGAAATGCTGTGTTTTCCATATATTTCAAGTATTGAAGGATGTGTTGTTCAAGGTAATTAAATAGAAATGAGGTGTAATCTCTGTATCAAACTAAATGAGTTCTATTTTAGACCACCAACTCAGCAGATTTGGATTCATATTAGATTATATTTGGATTTGTTCTCATTTACATGTGCATGAAGTCAATCCTCCCTGGAGCTACTCAAAAGCTAAGCATTCCTGTAATTGCAGCATCAGTGCCTCTGTACAGAATTACAGTTTCTCTGTGGAGTTCAGAAGAATAAAAGACAAATGTACAAAAATGTTGAAACATGCCACTCTCTGGGAAAAAAAAATACAGTATTTAGTTATTGGGGGAAATATTTTCCCTCCTCTACTTGCTAGAGCAGGATCTGGAAATCTCACTAAGGACCTCAAGGGAAACTGTATCTTGATCTACCTCCTTCCTTACCAGCTGCAGGGAAGAGCACAGTCAAGGGAAGGAGCCACACAGAAAGAATTTGTCTGTGGCAAAACCCAAATCTCCAAACACTTTGCCAAAGGGCCCTGCAGCACAGAAGGCTGGAGGGATAAACTGTTCTATGTCAATGTGGTAAACAACAACAGACATGAAAAAAATTATTTATATAAGCAATAATTACCCATGAAGTTAATTTTATACACCATGAAGGAATAATAAACAGCAAAAAATGGGCTTTTATTGTATTTCTGCTGGCCTTCTTTATCCTTAATTAAAAAAAAAAAAAAGAAAAAAGTAAAAGGTTTGTCCTTTTAATCCTTTCTATAATTGGCTGAAATTCCACAAAGAGAATTGCATAAAATTACTGGAAAATTATCAACACACACCAAAAAATGTGTCATATTTCCTTCTATTCCTAACATACCTTGAGCTAAATTTCAGCCTTTAGCATTTATGCATTTCCACCTCTGGCATACACGAAAGTGAGTATCCTTGGACACTGCTGCCTTTGAAACTGTCAGTGAACTTAATAGTTCCAGCACATGCTGCAAAATGCCTAAATTATCCCTGTAACAACTTGTATGCCCATTTCAGAAAATAACAAGGTTATACCAACACAAGGAGGTGGATGAGTTGTTCTTTACTGAATCCAAATACATTTTTCCTCAATCCTTAGGTAAGCAGGCAGCAAGGGATAAATAATTGAGAAAAAAACCACAGCACAAAGTCCTAAACAAATAGTTGACCTCTGATCCTAGAATGTATGCATACACATTTTTGAACTGTTTACAAACCACAAAGAAAATTACACAAATTTAATAGGACTTTATATACTTCACTTTCTGCCCCTATCCCTCCACAAGACTGTTCTGTAGCATTTACACAGGCCATTACAATGTAAAATCCTTAAGAAATATACTCATATTCCAGTTCCATAAGTAGTAAACAACAATCAAACACGAAGGATGCAGAGCCTCATTTTAGTACCTCACTAAGAATTATGTTTGTTTTGCATCATATCTTATCGCTGCAGTAAAGCACTGGAACCATTTAGTCTTCCTGATGTGATGGGTCTTGACAACACCACATAAATATGCTTGGGAAAGAAATCAGTGAAGGATACAGGAAAAACTAAATACATAGTTCATGTATTAGCACTGGGAAAACACAAAGAAACATAAAATTATGACATGCAATTTCTCTTCAGTGATGCAGTTTCCACTTTTATTTTTGTTCACTCATGTTGCAGGTAGATCTAAAGTATCTTTTACCCCTTGTAATATATCTTCCTTTTGCTAAAATGCCCATTTTCAGACTAGACGTACTTAACGTTAAATTCTCGGATTTGAAAAAAAAGAAAGAAAAAACAGGAAAAAAAAGGGGAGAAAAACTGTGCAGTTAGAAATTACTGTGCATTAATAATGTTATTTCAATGTGACTCAATAGCACACAGTCACTTGAAAGACAGCACATGAAAAAAAAAACATACAGTGAAGAAGCTCAAGGGCTTAGACGGTAAAAACAAGAGAGATGGGGAAATGTTGGTAACTAGTAACACACTTAAGGGGAATGAAGAAAAAAAAGAATCTGTAAAATTGACCTGCTGTTACAGGGAGAAGCAGTTTGCCATTCGCAACTTTGCCATTAACATAGCATGCAGTGACATTAAATATCATGTCATGGAGAATAAGGAGAAGCGAAAGCATTGAGATGTGAGATTATCTCAAACCTACAGCACTGAAGAAGCTGCACTCTGCTTGAGAAAAAGGTCAGAGGGAAACCTACAGCAAAGGACAAACCCAGCATAGAGACAGAACACTGCCTACAGCACAGACGGAGGGATCTCCAAATGCAGTTCCTCAATTAGTGCCCAAATCAGAGAAAGCACTTGAGCACCTGCAACCCTCCCATCAATATTCACAGGAAACAAAAATTATTTTTTTCTATAAAATCCACGGGACCAGCAAGCAGTGGATAATATGAGTCATAGTCAGCTTTGGCTAAGTGGGTCTAATTAGACCAGTATCAACAGGCTAGATGTGCTCAAGTCTGATTTGGTACGAAGAGTTGCTCGTCTCTGTCATGTCTGTTTCTGTGAACTACACAAATTAGAAGGAAAAATGGTCTGGACATGATCAGATCTAAGACATCAAAATGCTTTGTGATGGTAATATTCCCAGCCTTTTCTCATCTCCATGCAAGCCAAGCTTGGGTTCAGCCATCTCCATCTCTTTGGGATCAAGAACGTAAGCAGGGATTCCCCGGGCCCTGCTTGCATGGGGACTAAAGGGGATGTGATCTAGAAAAGACATTTCAGTGGTTATCGTCATAGAGCAAATTTTCTCTTCTCTTTTAATATACAGACTCATCACCTCTCTTCAAAACTTCAACACTCTCATCCTACCTAGTTTGTTGCAATTTTCTGATACTGTCTATGCTGTCCAGAGTTATTCTTAGACACAAGTCATGAAGAAGAGCAGCAACAGAGAGCTCCATGACTTCTCTGAAGATACTATCAGTTGCCCACAGATCCCAAAAAATGAGGTATACAGCAGGTAATAAACTAGACATGTTAAAGGCTACTTTTATCATCCATTTTCTTTCCCAGTGAATAACAGACAGCATAACAAACTGCACAAGGCTTCTCATTCCAATTTTGTTGCATCTCAAAAATGCCTGTTACAACCTGAAAATGAAGATATCCTTTTGTTGTCACCAACCCAAGTCCCCAAGTATTTCCCTCCTCACCGTAAAGGGAAATACTTTTCAGATGTGGGTGGCATAGCAATCATGTCATAAAGTTGGCTTGGCAGGTGGACCATGATGGGTGGTATGTATGCAAACACACAGACAAGTATTTGTGTCCCAAGAACCTGAACAATCAGAAAGTGATTTGAGATGGAAGATCCCACTATAGCATTGTTCTCTTAATTTCAATTAAATTAAGATTAAGTGCTCCTCTGCAAAGCTGAGCAGTCACTTACCACAGACACCTATGGTTTGCCTTCCCCAAATGTAAGCTTGGTAGTAGCCTGAGCATGTGAGGAAATCTTCTGATGAGTATGAAAAATAGTTTTTTCATGCACTGCAGAGAACAGCACTTTAGCTTTGAAAGGTATCAAAAATATAATAGAAAATCTATCTAAAATTAAAAGATGTTTCTTATATGCAGGATGAAAGATGATCTGCTGCTAAGTGATATGAAGATAAATTCCTTTTTAGAGGAAAGATGGTGTTTTGTGGAAGGAAAAAGCATATGTTTTCTACTCAAGATCTTACTGTTGATAATCCACTTGCCATATGTTCGTGTTTTCTTGAATAACGAGAGGCCACTAAGGCATCAATATCTTCTTCTCTTTCATCCAGATAATCCTAAATGACAAACAGGCATTTTAGTTTTCTTATTCTGCTGTGTATTTGGTCAGCCTCTGTCACTTAGTTTTGTTTCACACGTTTTCTGCTTTAGGAAAACAACAGCAATGCAAATTCTATTCTCTAGAGGAATTTTGATTTACATTTTCCACATCTTTGTACAGGCACAGAGGATAAGGGGAAGAGGCACTGTTACAGTTTCAGGGTTCAATTGCTTAAGAACTGGAAAAGTTCCCACATACACTTCATCTCTTATTCTGGAGGAGCATATCTTCGTGTGGCCAACAACTACACATAAACAAAACCCCGCTTCCATGCCTACAAACAATCCCATGTGAATTAACTTATTCTGCTTGCTACTATTTGCATTCATGAATTCAGGCTTGAAAATCTTGGAGGAACATGGCGAGAATTTGTTAAACCTTAAAAAAAGAAATGAGTGAATTAAAGTCCCATTCCAGTGGCCAGGGGGACCGCTGATACTGGTTTACCTGAAGACGTGTGTAGCCAAAAGCCATTAGATGATTGATTGGTTACAGCCCAGGTCACATGTCCGTAACAGACAAAATTTTTAGAATCCAGAAATCCAGTTTTCCAATTATTACCCACATTTGTATCAGTCACAGTCACACAAACAGACAAGTACACAATTTGCATCACATTTGCACCCTTCGTGCTGCAGTGCTTAGAGATGATTTCGTGGACACAGTCATTAGAACAGACCCCTTTTAACTGGCAGTGCTGAAAGCCCTGGGTTATTGTCAAACCACGTGGGAAGAACCTTGCCATCATACACACTGAATATATTTGAGAGGTAAGCTAAAAACCAAGTTGATGGGCATTTTTAAAATTCCTGTACTGTTTTAACAAAAGAAAGGGAGGAATTCAATAGTTGCACAGCTTTATATTTGTGCTCGAGTTTTAACAAGCAAGACTGAACTGCAACATCTTTAACTTATATAGAGAAAAAAATAATTTTCATTGTTTAAGGACAGCAATAAAGCAAAATCTAAAAAGAAACAAGATCTGGATGATAGTTCTAATAGGACTCTTAACTTTTGCTTGAAGTAACAGGAAAAAGTGCCAACAGACAATTATCATCCTATTAAATATAGTTTGGAAATTTCAAGTGTTTCCTTAAACCTTATGGCAGGTATTTTGGAAGACTCTGCTTTTAGTTTTGATGGAAGTCAAATGTTCAACTTCCTTATATCTGCTTTGTAGCTATAAAAATCTTGTGCTTTGACCTACCTCAATCTCTATTGCTTAGTTGCTCTCACTCTGAAACTAAACAGAGGAGTATTGTATTTGAATTCAGGGGTCTCAAAGACTGCTCTGCTAATCAGGAAAAACAGAGAAGAAATGTTGCTGGAGAGTTGAACTGTCACAGTTTACATAAAAGATCTGCAGTACATTTGTTGTTAGTGTGCATAAAACTAGCTGTTACATCTCTTATCGTTTGCTCCAGCTACTGAACTGATTTAAAACCAGTTGAAAGTGATGCAAAATTTTGTATTACCATTTTGCAGTTGTAACTACATATTTAATATTGAGCAGAGGGAAATCAGGACAAGCTATTGCTATTTGGGACCGAGATTTACATACTGAAATAAAGACTCCTCTTGGCTTCATGTTCTTGCCATGAGTTTGCTCTGCTGGTCTCATACCTTTCTAACCTATTCAAGGCAGTGTTACCATCCCACAGAAAAAAAAAAAAAGAAGTCATAGATATTTATAAATATATAAAGAAAATATATATAAATATATAAAAGGAAAAATCCATGGAGATCCAGGCATAACAGAGCAAACTATTTCAGGTAGAGAGAGAGTTGAATCCTCCAAAATAACCCCCCACCAAAAACCTGAAATAAAAACAAAAAAGACCTAGTCTACCTTTCATTTCTACTTCACTCACTAAGTTCAGAATTCAGATGATGTACTCTAGTTTTAAATTTGAAACAAGAAAACACAATTTTCTTTCTTGCCCATATAACAGGAAGGAGCAGTTCTGGTAATACATATACAACTATTTCTTTTACAATGCTGTATGCATACCAGTGAACTTTAAAATAAACAGTGCTACATTTTTATTACTGAATAATAAAACACAAGAGAGAAAAAAAAAAGAGGTAAGGCAACACCTTCAGACTGGGGTGTTGGGATGTTTCAGACCTAGACACTCAAATACTGGCAGTGTTCACAGAGTCCTAAGGACTGCTAATTGACTACCAATTTTTTGTCTGCAAGCAGATATCTAAAAGTTGAAAAACAAAAAGGTTAATGTTTAACCTATGCTCTTCATTCATTTTACACCAAGATGATTATGTTTCTCAGGAGGTGTCACAGAACTGCGACTACATAATTGGTTAGCGTTATTAGGTTATTAAAGTTAGAGCTAGTAGGATATTAATCTCGTGGTCTCCAGTGGGGGTTGTAAAATGCACATCATCCAATTACTTCTGAAAAAGCAGCTGAGCATGTAATGAACACTACTTGGTCAGGAATTCAACACACACCTCTTTAGACAAGGTGCTCACACTTGAACACTAGATTTAACTGGTTCCCTGTGTTCCTTGCTGAATACCTACCACACTATGTGGGGTTTTGGGGGTTGTCCCTTTTGACTATCAGGAGCAATAGTAAGTTAGGGAAGCAAAATATCCATTCAATTGTCCAGCTAATTTCTCTGTATGTGTACTGGGTTTTCCTGATAAAGGTTGGAGCAAAGTAGCTGAAAGCCTTTTCCCATCCTTCCAGCTTACAAATTCCAGCAATCTGCATATCCTATTGACATGTGGCATCTCCCACACCACTGCTGTCAGCTCCCATCTCCCAGGACTGAAGGACCTCAGCTGGCTCCATCAGCCAGCTGAGAGGAAAGGAGGTATAACTTCCTAACTTTTCTCAGGCTGCAGGAACTGTTGTTACCTTCATCAGATCTCTTTCTCTTTGTCTCTTATATCAAGCATCAAGTTATACCGAGCATCAAACTAAATTCCAGCAGGAATACAGCTTTTATCTCGAAACACTGCATCCATAATGATTATAGGACAAGACTATGAAGGACTCCTGTGAGTCAAACTACCTGAAAAATATGATAACGCTAAAGATGATGAATGCAATCAATTCATTTCATAAGGCAGAGAAAAGGGAGGATATGGGTAGAATCAGAAATCTGTGAATCCTGTTATGAATGAATTTTAAAAGGGATTGAGCGCTCTTACAGACCCTGGAGCAACTAAATCAAGGTTATGCCACAAGAGAGGTCTCCTATGCTAGCAAAGGAGCTGGAGATTTGCTGAGTACAATTTAAAATTTCATCCAGAGACAGCAAGAAAGAAGGAGGAAAAAAAATAGGAAAAAAGAAAGCCGCCTCTGAATAAGAGGAAGACAAAAATCAAAGAACAGAAAACCTCTCTGGACTTGTCATCTCTGACACCTGCCTCAGAGAAATACGAAAGTAGTAACTATCAGACCCTGTACAGTTAGAGCAGAGAACTGATATAAAGACATTTAAAGTCTGTATTTTCTTATTTTATGCTTTTCTTCTGCAATATTTTCCAGCTTCTTAATAAAGAATACATCCTTTTTCTTGATTACATTTTAAAAATAAGCCACTTATTTTTGAAGTTTTTTTTCCACCATCTGACAGACTCCTTAAAGAATAACTCAAAGAAATGCTGCAGGCAAATTCTCTGACTGTTAACAGTCCAAGAAACAGATGAAAATCCCAACAATGTGATTTTCCACCAAGACCCAAGTATCAAACTCTACAAGGAGGGGAGACATCTCCCATGGCCAATGCTCTTCTGAAAAGAGCAGATGGTAAGGAAGGAGTATGACAACAGACAAAATGCATAAGCTACAAACACACAATTGGAAACTTTAGAATAAACTATGAGTACATGAAGAACTATTTAAATAACTTTTTCCTCCCTCATGCATATTTAACAAGCTTGGATGTTTTTTTATAGCATTGATGCACATCTGCAAATTGCCTAGCTTGGATATGTGCATAAGAAGAGAAGGAAATTGTGAATAACTTCAGTAAAAGCAGTTCATAAAATACACAGAAAAAGACACTGAGATGTATGGAAGAGTCAACAGGAAAAAGAGCTAAACAACAGGGGCAGAACAGAAAGTCGGGTCTTCATTTGCTAAAAATATAAATAAGGGGAAAACCAAATCAAATAAAGATTAAAGTCTTTAAAGTATAGAATTTCTCAGCATCAAAATTAAAATCTATGAAAGTATGAATTAACAGAACTTCAGAGCGTGTGTAATTTATTGCCTGGAATTTATTTTCAGGCTAGATTTCTTTCACCTGTACACTCAAAAATCCAGCCAATTAATAACAAACTGAAACCATGACTCAGAAGATGACACTGTTTAAAACTTCATTAAATATCCCTGAAATAATGTCCTGAATTACCCATATTTTACATCGATATACATGCAGTGCTGATTTCATAAGTCTAAAAAAACAGAATTTCCACCAGATAAATATTTCATCTTTATAACTCACCAGTTCCTGATCTAAGGCACTAGGCACAGATTTGCTTCTGATGCTGAGAGTATCCTCATTTCCTTCAGAGAAGGATTCACTCAAATCTATCTCAGATCGGCTACGGTCTGGAAAATAAAATCAATTAAAATGTTTGCTATAATTTGTACCGAGATATTAATTTCATATCCCATACAAGTATTGTCCCAAACCCAACCGTTTTTTAAGAAAATAAAAATTCATCAAAACAATACTTTAGTTACTTGTTGAAAACTATGACAATTGAACATCAATATAATAAATGGAAAAATACGTCCTCCGATGATGTTCAGCCTTCTGGGCAATATTTTTTCCCCTGCACTGTTTATCTGCTGGGATTGTCTCCTGTGGATGATACTATAGATCAAAGTTTTGACTTTCTCTGGGCCCGTCAGCCTAGAATATTGCAAAACTTGCTGTCCATGTGCTCACAGTGATTACGTCCCACCACCACCAAATTTGCTTCAGTATCTGCTTCAGAATCAAGCAACTGGGGATACAAATGGATGCAGAAAGTACTTCTGACATTAATGCTGTTCCTTGTGCAGAAATTAGTGGAAAACAAACAAGTCTCAAGACCTCCAGCAATTCCTTTCAGTCCCATGGGTCTCTCATCCACTCTATAGGCATAAAACACAGAGGTCTTGGAGAAAGATTTTCTTAGTCCTCCCCATATAAATATTTTGTGTGACTGTTTCAATATATTTGGAAAGAAAGAGAGGGAAGAGAATACTTTTAGGTCCTGCAGATAGGAATCTGAATCTTTTTAACTGTTCATCTTCTGCCTGGTCTACAGTTGATGTGATAGGAAAGGTCACTCTCCTGACCTTAATGTCCTTTGACATCTGCCAACAAGGAGACAGTGAAGAGTTTGAGACCAATTCCCAAGTTACCTACAACTTTGCTCAGCATCAATCTGCTTTGGTAACATGAGGTTAGTTCTTATCTATTAGGAAAACCCTTATTTTATAAAGGAGCAGGAATTTTCACTTCATAAAGGAGTAGCCATCTGTAACACCTCTGCCTGGAGTTGCACTGTACAATATTATCAAAAGAAACTCAGATGCTTTCAAGCTGAAGTATCTAAGGTAAAAGACATTACCTCCTTTGATTAACTCTGTGGGATACACCACTAGGTTTCAGCTTTGGGCTAAATTCAGCTGCAATAAAGTGAGTCCTGCTGTGTTTCAGAGAGAAACCTGTAAACCCAAACCCACTCTGTTATCCCTGTAGGAAGCCAACTGAGTGTCTGGGAGAAGTAGAAGAGTGCAGGGTGTCCCTGTCTCCTGTTTCAGACGGGAAAAAGAGGATCTCCACCTGCTGCTGCAAAGTGGCTGTGACAGCACCTTCCTGTGCAAGCCTTTTTCACCCAGCAGCCTTCTATGAAATGAGGTAAATTACAGACTGATTGACTGGTTCAGTGCATCACATATAAAAATGAAATGAAGTGAAGTCTGTAAGGGGCTTGCTCTCTGACCACTCTTTGTTTCCCAAATCTGCTTCTGGGCAAAGTGGGTGTGAAATGTAATGGCAGAAGCAGAGTAGTGTTATATACAGATTGCAGCCAGGTAACATTTTATTCAGGTGAGCACACAGAGAATGATTTAACAATGTGCAATTGTGACTGAAATCTTTTAAATCCTGAGCATGTGATTTACCTAATATTCACATTGTGCCAATATTACAGGGGTTAGGATTACCATTTTTTTTCATGTAAAACTTGTGAAGTGGTATGAAATTGGTTAGTAAAAGGGAAACATTTTCAGAATGAATTTGAACAAATTTATAAAACTTACACCTGGTCTTTCATTGTACTTTAAAAACAAAAGGAGCAGAGTCATAAGAATAGGAATAATCCTCTGATAGTAAAGGCTGGTAGAAAGGAGGAAAAGACTTAATACTTGCCTGATGACAAAGATACCCTAGAAACTGCAATGGAAGGTGTTCCAGATGCTTTCCTACAGTGCTTCTTTACTAAATCTTCAGGTACACTTTCACTTGCTGGAATAATCATGCCATTTTCTAAGCCAGTGTCCTGCCCAATAAAAAAAAATGCACACCCTATAAACACAAAAACTGAGCTTATTCACTATCAGTCTGTAAAAACATCATTTCTATTAGATCCCAGAACTCCAAAACTCCTTTAGCAACCAGTCTATTACTAATCATATTTAGATTCCAATCTAATCTGCTTCACTTAGCACTGATCATGCATAAAATTTGCACAAAAATGTGATTCATGCTTACATGCTGAGTTTCCAGCTGAAGAATCAGAGTAGCTCATCAGGAGTGAGAGCAGGGAACTGAAATACTCAAATCTATTGGAAGTTCATGTAGCTCAGAAATTAAAAAACAACCAAACAAAAAACCTATGGGTTTTATACCAGCGTTATAATTTCAACCAAGGTAGAGCCAAATGGACTTAAACTAATTAAATTACGCCAGCATGACCCCTTAAATAAAGCCAATATATTTGATATCATTATGATTTTTTGCCTTCCCATAAAAGAATGCCTAATAACATAACTCCATAAAAATTAAATGAATTTTTCAAAGGAATTGAATGCACTTGAAAACAAGTCAGTCTATATGCCAAAAAGAATACAAATGAAACAACTATTAATTTATTTACAGGTCCCAAAACTGCCCTTCATATATACTAACTTTTTTTTGTTAGGAAAGACAAATATTAGACCAAGTATCTGATCTAAACACTCATCTACTTTTTTTTCAAATATTGATGGAAAAAGGCTCTGACTATAAATTTTACTTCCCCTGTGCACTTAAATCATGGCAACTTAGGACAACTTGCTAGTACAATCTTGATTTTTCAAGAGAGGTGACTGAAATGAACTGGGGAATGGCATCTCCGTGCACAGCCAGGAGGAGATGGGTGGCAAACAGGCAGATTCTCTGGGAATAAAGAGAGTGTCTGCTTCTGGATAGATGAGCCACATCCTTCTGCTGATTACAAAAAGCCAAGGTGGCCAGCCTAGCTCAGGTGTGGCCACCTATATCCCAAGAGGCCAAACAGGAGGTGAGAGGAATCATCTTGACAATGTGTCTAGCACACATTTTGTGTTATGGCATAATTTATGCAGAGCCCAGTGTCCAAATCCAGAAAAAACTAAAATCAGTTTGGCCCGATTTTTTGCAAGTGCTGGATTTTCAGTTCCCCTTACAAGTCAGTGGGAGCACACTGGACCCTGCATGCCTGAAAGTCCTGTCCTTAGTTCATAACACTTGGTTAAGGCCCTAAAGTGCCAAAAATGCTTATTCCCAAACCCTCGTGCCTCCAAGTTCAGAATTTTTAACTCATTATATAATGCTGGATATCAACAGCAATTTTTAGACAAAAGAGAACAGTCTGCCAAACCAAAAACCACGTCACGGATAGAGCATGACAAGTTCTATTCCAGCAGCAATCTTCACTGGTCCCAGTCAAACCAAGGAAGAAATAAGATATTCTCTGTCAGGCTTGTCTTTACTGGGCTACAAATCGATCTAACAGGGCAGATACCAGCCAAGTCATCTTGTTTGGTGTCAGCTGTGCTTGGTGTGAGCTCCACATCACTGTACTTACCCTGCTATAATCTGCAGTCATGCTGCGTGTGCTGAGCGCCGGAGACCTCGGGAGGGAGGGTATGGGAGCACTGCCCCCCCTCACAGCCCCTCTCAGACGACCTGCAGCAGCCTCCACAACACTGCTGTTCAGTGAAAGAGTGCTCCCTCTGGGGTGGAGAGAGGAGTATTAAAGGGTTATTGCTTTGAGCAAACCAAGGCAACCCATTTAGCAGACCACTGCAAGAAAACAACTGTGCTTGCAGGTTTCGAGAATAACATTGCCCTGGATGGACTGTGTGATCCCCTGCAAGGAAATGGTCATTGGAAAAGAAAAAAACATAGGCAAAGGTGAATTACAATTATTTTATAAATAAAAGTATTGTCAGTACTTCTACCAGAACTGTAAATAGCTCAAATGGGCAGCTCCTGTCCAGGCTGCAGAAGAAACAATTTGTCTGAGTTCATTTCACACCACATTCACATCCCAGCAGTAGGTGTGACAATTCGTGCAACCCTTCCTACTAGGCTGCTGCTTGGTGTAAAGGGAAACTTCTGGCCCCTTCTGCAGCCAATGTAATGCCAGCACCATCTCCAGAAAGTCTAAAATCCTTGGCTGTCTGCTCTCCAAGGTCTCCAGAAAAACACTGACTCATTCACTGTCCTATTTATGTTGTAATAATGACTCTTGACCCAGAGAGGTTGATTCTTTCAAGCAGCTTGTACAGGTCTTCTTGCCAGATTTCACATTAGTAAAAGTGACAAAAAAATCATCTGTGATCCTCGTAGCAGAAGCCATTGCTGTCTAACATCACATCAGGCAGAAATTTTTCCATGGGACAGTTTATATTAGAAGATACTGATAAGTCCACGTGAAAATTGAGGGATAGAAATGCTAAGCTCTTGCACTTTTTTAATCTTTTGAAACAATGAGAATTATTTTAAAATGTATTTCAACACATTCCTAATTAAAGTTTTATTTTATTTGAAATCTGATTTGCAGTAAACGTAACACATTCCTGGCAGATCAACTCTTCTTTCTCCACAAACATCAGTTCAAACCTTTTATTTTTAATTCACAATTCATAGAAATCTCAAAAAGTCTTGCAGCACAGTAAGAGATATGCATACAGTCCTACTTACTATATTAATATTTAAAAAATTATTAGTAAGTAGGAACTGAAGGAATTGTACCCTTTCCATGTGGAAAATATGGTGTCAGAGGACAATAGCAGCATAAATTTGCTGGAGAAAGTTTTTGGAACTTACAGCATATCTTCAGTCAAAAGAGGCTTGCTTAATAAATATTTCAGATTTGCTGGCATCATCATCGTACTGGGCAACAATTCTCCTTCACTAGGTGTAGACTGTCATATCATGTTTAGAGTAACTACAGTATAAATCTTCTCTACCACAACCTAAATTTTTATTAAAACTACTGCTAAACTGAGAAAAAATACTCTGCCACACCACAGCTCCAGTCTCACTGCTACATTAAGCAATGAGAACGGGCTCTGAATCCACACTGGTAGAAAAAAAAAGGAATACAAAGAACAACCTCAAAGATAAGGATTATCTAGAAGTGTTGTGCAACCATGTTTTTGTCTTTTAATGAGCATATGGTAACCTTATTAACAATTACTATCCAATTTCACATACTGACAACTGTAGATAGTGCATAAATAAACATGCTCTTATTTGTGTGAACTTCACATACACACACTGCTACTTTTTAATTTGATCAGCCATTGATCAACAAATTCTACTAAATATGCTGTGGTTGCATTTATCTTTTTATATAAAGATGCATCTTTGGTGCTGCAAAGTCAGAAAAACCAGTTTCTGGCTGTCATCTGTATTTTATCAAAGCTGTTGGACTTAGATGCACACACTTTAATTTCCAAACCTGCCAATGCATGTAAAGCAACCAAAGTGTTCAAAACCTGAGTTTTATTGCACATCACACCACTTCTGCTGGATTGTTGTGACTTTCTGTTACAAAAACTGTGTAAACTGATATAAATCAAGAGAAGTGTTCAGAAGTGAGCTGGGATAACAGATTTGAGAACATGTTGCAAAGGGTTCTGTGGGAGTCTTCAGTCAGACTGACCACTTGCACATCAGACCTGCTAACAGACCTCTCCTGTCCTTTGTCCTTATTTCAGTCTGCTGTTAGAGAAAGATTCAACACTTTTTATACATTTTAAGTAGACAACAAAAGAAAAATATTGTTGTGACTACATGGTAGACAAGACTTCAATATGATGGGGCAGAGTGCCTGTGTAGATGACCCTGAAATTCCTATACTATTTCTCCTAGAGGTATCCTGACCTGATGCAGCCTCACAGTTCATTCAGCAGCAAAATCAGCAAACTTTTTTGCTGAAGTAGAAATAAAGTTGAAGAAGTAGACCTGTGGCCTGGGTCTCTCTGTTCCCAGCTCAGTAGGACAGCTACAATGGCCCAAGATGTTATATATTTATAATGTGAAACTCAAAATAGTTAGGAAAGGTAATCTGGGAAGCTCTGCTGTTATTTTTAATACTTACCACTCAGTTGTATAAATTAGTGACACATAAACTAAGCAAGCATCCTCAGATACCTAATTAAGTATTTAACCATGCATGTGGTAGACAGGAATTTTCATCCCTCTACTAAGTACAAGCTGTTCCTCAATCCTTCCACAAACTGCTATTTAAAAAGTGCCATATCTTCCACAGAGAGTAAAACAATTCATCCTCCTATGAACAGAATCTCCTGGTAACACAGTTGGGTTACTGTGGCACAGGACACTGATCTCTCCAGGTGAGAATGAGATGATAAGTGCAGAAGGAAGTTGATGTAATAACTCAATACCCGTAATTTAAAAAGTCCTACACCCTGACTCTGGGCAAAAGCTAGAAATTGATGACTTATGTGTAAGTCAAGCAAGGTAATCAAACACAAAAGCTATCTTTACAGACTGCTTCACTCTATTTTTCTAAATCTGTACACAGAGCTGACCAGGTGCTGAATTCCACTATCCAAATAAAACTATTTTGTTTCATTTATGGTTAACTGCATGATAACTTACTTGCAGTTTGGCACATCAAAAGAGCTGCACAGATCTCTCACAAGGATCCCTTTGTCCTGGTAAACTCTCAGAGAAAACTACTTAATTAATATTGCACAACCTCAGGGTTAAGCATCACAGACACCAGATTTCTGAGGTTTTGTCTCTCAGATCCTTCACTCATCTCTATTCTAATCAATAAAAAGCAAAACAAATCCTGTAAAACAGCAAAAATGCTACTGTTGGTCTCATAGAAGTCAGGTATGAATCTGGTTAGATACAGAAGGCGTAATCAGCTGAGTGAAAAAAAAATAGTGAACTGTGTATGGATTACAGAAGGAAAACTAGCTCTGAATTGCCTAGTGTGCTGCAAAATCCAGTGGAAAAAAATAATCCAGTTATAAACTTCCAACAAGATTGTCACCATCAATTTTAGACACATTGCAGAACATCTAGAAATTGGGGGGTTTGAATTGTAGGTAATAAAGAGAAGAAAGTTCTTGCTTAAACAAGAAGGCTTATCTATATGAATTAAACTTCATGATGATCCTTTTAGTTATTATCCTGTGTTCCTGTATACCTATTTAGAATCTCCCAGAAACACTGTTTTAGAGATAGAAATTTCCACTGGAACTTACAGCAGAATTAGTACCTTTTTTTTTTTTTTTAATTTTTGATCCAAATTGTAACATTTCTGGGTGTGTGCACCTGAGCAAAGAATGTTGGTCTATACACAGTGCAGACTATCAAAATGAACAAGAAAAAAGGGAATTATTTTTTTGCTTAATTTTGAAGGTAGGACATAAGAGGAATGTTGTTGTATCTGGCATTTTATAATACTATCAGAGGCAGTAACAGACATCTCTTAAGCCCAGAAGAATGATTAAGTGGAATCCTACTAGATATAACTGGGACAATAATCCTGAAAAGAGAAGAGTAAACAGAGCCTTTGAAGAAGAAAATATAAATTATAATCAGTTAACATGTCATTACTGAAGAAAAACAAAGAGCCTCAGTTCTGCAACCAGAACACAGCTCATCTATTAAAAGCCAGAAAACAAAAACCAACATACTGACATCAATCACCAGCCAAATACAAGGAGAGTAAAATGAGAGGAATGGAGGAAATGTTTAGGTTTGTTGGGGTTTTGGGTTTTTTTGGGTGTTTGTTTGCTTTGTAAACATAAGCTTTGCTTCTCAGACAGTATTAATGCTGAGTATTGAAAGACACAAAGCAACACAGGGGCCTGGCAGACACCCCAGGTCAATCCCAGCATGAGCTGTACCAGGTCACTGCTCACCTCTCAGAGCACGTTGCTGACTTGCCGCTACGCAGACTTTGGGTTTCAGCTTCTGAGCCTGGGTTCCTCTCACCTCCATCTTTTCCATATGTAATTTCTCCTTTGGTAACTGCCCTGATTACCTTCCTGATGAAAACAGGGAACAAAAGATTTTTAAAAGTTGTGATGTGCACGTTCTACTGATTTCATCTGTCTGACCTGCGGACAACTCTGGATATAAGGGTCAACACAGCACCAAATGTGGTTATCAAACTGATTCCTATTAGGAAAAAAAGCATCATATTTAATACAAGCTGCTTTTTAAGACACCAAACATTAAAGCATCTCTCCTACTCAACACGGGCACTTCTAGCTTTGAACTAAAGTGCCTTTTGTGAAAATTTCTCACTTTTTTTTTACAGTTTATAGATAGCAAAGTAGTTTTTACTTAAATATGTGTATTTTCCCCTAGCAGATTATGCTATATATATTTTCTCATTGAAGTATTTCTACAATTATAAACATTATTGCCCCAAACGTGCCATTTTCCTAAAAACATAATATCACCCCCTCACCTTGCAAAACATGGTCTAGTGAGAAAGAAATTAGTGAAATTAATTAAAGTTTTGAAAAATATTAATATTTTTCATAACCTTACAAACAACAGTAGTCTGTCAAGTTATTTCATAACACTGTCAGTAGCAGATGGCCCCAAAAGGCCCTCGTTAAAACAAATCCACTCATGAGATACAGGAATATGGAACCTGAGGGAGGAAGAAGAAGTAAGCAAGGAAGAGGAGGAGTAATGAACTACTCCTAAAAGAGGTCACAAAATATACCAGGAAAAGCAAGCCAGATCATTGTAGGATTAAATTTCTGTTATGGGGAACATCACAAACAAAAAACCATTTCAGGCCACAAACAGAAAGAGATTGAGCACCACTAAAATAAACAACAGACAATTATAAAAATAATTGTTTCCTATAGGGGAATATGACTAATAGATTTGCACAAAGGATTTAAATGGAAGAAGGATTAGAAAAGAAAACTTTAATGCACTCTTATTATATCTATCAATTAGCATGACTTAGAGCAACATCTAGGTCCTATTATTATATCTATCAATTAGCATGACTTAGAGCAACATCTAGGTCCTATTACAGTAGAATCCCTATGCTGTTTCTTTCTTTACCATAATTTGAGAAGCCAGGGGTATTCTGATGCTCTTTTCCCCTATATTAAAGAGAGATAAATCACTTATGTTAATTTCTGAAATCACTGGAACAATGCCATATTCAGCTTTCCTCAGAAGTAAAAAAGCTGCAGAAAGCATCTACCTACCCTATATTTAGGATCCATAATAGAAATGTGTTCTTCCTTTCAACACAAACAAAGTTTTCCAACTATCAGCCGATGGAACTCCAGTCATGACATGAACATCCACCCAATTTTTCTTCCCATTCACCCAATAACCTCAAGTTAGGTCCAAACACCACTCGTGCAATTATATATTCAATGCATCTGTTCACGTCCCCTGAGAGTAAGCAAGTGCTCCTCTCTAAGGGCATAGCCAGACTGGGGTTAAACACTGCAAGATGACCAACAGCAAATCTGTTCATTCACTGTCAGGTTGCATTTACACAGATAGAAACTAAAGGAAAACTTGACCCGTGAGCAAAACTGACCAGTATACATAAAAAACTGGCCCTCCTAAACCAGGTTTTTGCATTTATTTCTTCAGCAAACCTGTCTTTAAGGACACTCTTTTACTTCTGAGTATAAACAAGAAAAATCCAGGAGTAAAACTGACTAATTTTCTGTTACCTTCATAGTTGAAGAGTAATTATTGCTGCATTTCCCAGGAATCTAATTATAATAAGTATGACTTTAAACGAAGGCTGTTTCTAGCCCTGGAAAGTTTGAGCTAATGTAGAACACTGGGTAAACTCATAAAAAAATCTTTACAACACATGAAACTGTTTTCATATTTATCAGTTTCTGGGGAGAAAACAAAAAAAAGGCTTTACCCTATCTTTCTAGGTCTGCTGAAGACTGACTTATGCCCACTTGTGGAGGAGACTGATACATCTGGCTTTTGTTCTTCATTCTCTTGGGGTTGATCTTTGAATGTTCTTTCTTCATCTGTATTTGAAGCTGTATCTGCAGTGGAGGGGGAAAGAAAAAGTGAATGTTTGCATGAAAACACAGTCCATGTCAAACAACCTACAAAAATAGATTTTCCATTTTTAACAAAAAAAAATAAATCTTTGTGATAAAATATAATGACAAAATCTTGGGGGTTGTTTGGCTTTTGCTTTTAATAAAAGAAAATAAAACTGTAAGTAGCTTAAGATGTTTCTCATTATCAGCTTGTCTTGAGCTGTGCTTCTTTTTTATCTTAATCACTGACAACATTTAATAACCAATGGACCTGAAATTTAATTTTGAAATGGACAGTATTTTCTGTGTGGAATGAGTGTTCTCCTAATGAGTGTTTGTTCAACTAGGAGCAAAGTAGTGTGAAAATGGCTTAAATATATTTTCCAATATATTTATCAAATAATAAACTAAGAAATCATGAGCTACCCAATCTGATTGGTGACATAGTATCAAGAATGTTGGATACTTCCAGTTTTACAGCTTCTGAAGCACAATGATACTGGCAAGATCCACATTTTGCCAAGCAGCATGTTTGCACCAGGCATTTTTTCCAATGGCAGCAAACCAGTCCCTCTCCTTACAAACTGCCTGCACCCATCACCTTCCTACTGCAAGTGGTGCCATATCTGGAACAGACTGCCCAATGAACAGCTTTGTGGCAGAGGGAAGGTGTTAAGTGAATACAAAGCGACAGCATGAGGAAAATCTCCTGTTTCTTAAACCAGTGGTCCTGTGGTACCACCCACGGTACCACAGCAGCTCACAGGCACAGTACACACACAGACACACCACTGTGCTTGGTGAAGACAGCCAGACTCTTTGCTGTACCTAAAAGTGCAGGTGCAATCTGTTGGAGACACCTGGGCAAAAAGAAAGTCTGAATACCAAGTAGTGTGGTTATAGCCCATGCTCCGGCAAACAGCACAGGAGTTAATATTTGCCTTTCTTATTCAGAGTTGGAAGAGAAAAATTGAGTGCTTTTTACACACTGCCATCACAAATAAGAGAGTTAAAGTCAAAAAATGTCCAGGTTTAGATCTCTCCATGAAGCTAAACTTCCTGGTAGGAGCTGAGAATAAACTTTCAGAGCCTCTGCTGCTGGGCTTTGCTGCTGAATATCACTGCCCACCTGTTTTGACAGTGAGTCTTTCAGCAATCTCCACAGAGATACTCCTTTCACATAGGCCTTACCTTTCCCGTACATTAATCGTGAAAAAATCACTACACAGTAAGACACGAATACAAAAATAAAATTAAAATACAGATTATACTTAAAACTTCTACAGTCAAAACAAGTCAAACACTCAGGAAACAAGGTTTGAACATATTAAGCACAAGCAATTCTCTCTCTCGAGACCCCTACCTGGGAATTTGCGTAGGATAGACTGTCTGACAACATCGGTTCCAAGGTCTGGCTGTTTGAATCGCTTTGCTCTCTCCTCAAAAAACCATTCTCCCGTCACTATCCGTAGCTGTCTGCATGGGGAAAATTAAAAAAGCCACACACATACACACATTAACAAACTTGGCCAACCAAATAGCTACTGCTATTCATCATTTTACTGTCATGCTCACAAATTCTGGACAACATTTACACAGTTTAAAGAGTAAAGAGATCAATTGTAAATCTTGGGGTAACAGGACACATAGCTGAAAAACATCATTTTACTTTGTGAATGGAAAGCAATTTTCAGTATATGGAAATTTTCTTTGCAAAGAAAACATTTCAACCACTTCTACTGGATTTCTGTAAAAAACATGAAACATGCTGTAATCCTAGTCCTTTGTGAACTATTCAACTTCACAGTTTCCAATAGCTCCGAAATTACAAGAGACATAGAAACAGCAACAGTGGGTAGAGGGAGAAAAACTCCCACCAAAGCTACTGCCAGGTGAGTCAGCAGTTCATGGACCCAACCTGGTTATAGACAGGACACTGCAAGTCTATTTATATTTTTCATCTCTAGTTTGATATGCTGACACTACATGCAGTTTCTTCACGTGACAGTGCTGCTGTGAATTAGCTATGTGCCAGAAGTTCAGAGCAATGAAAATTTGCTATTGTTCTGGATAATGTTGCTTTTCTGATTTCAAATTCTTCTATCTATACTAGCAATTAAGAAAATCTGTACTGGCACTTATGTTTTCTCATGGGTATATTTTTATGCTGATTGTTAGCTTTTTCCTGAATTAGTTTCATTATGGCATAGCATGACCATTTCTACTGCCCCACTAAATACAGTTGATGGCAAAAAGCTACTAATCTTGAATACTCTAATAATAAACAAACAATAAACAAACTAATAAACCCCAGACATTAAAAACTGATTTAACTCCATACATGTTCCTGCTTCCTGTTCAATAAGAAAACTTATTTCCAAACCTACACTGGAAAAGAAACCATCTAGTCTCTTGGGCATGAAAAATACTACAGATGGATTTAGAGCATTGATCATTATCTTTGCTATTAAATTATTTTTGAGTCGTGCCTGAAAGGAGAGTCTTACCTGAGAAAATACTAAAAATTACTGAATAGCATCCTACCATTGGTGAAAAGACCCTAATATTATCAGTTCTTCCTTACCCATTAATGAATCACACATCTCTGCATGACTCACTAAAAAAAAAATAAAATTGAAAAATTGAAATTCAAAACATGTGTCCACAAGCATAGAAACAAATTATTGCCTTATCTTGTTTTTGCAGACTCCTAGTGACAAAACCTTCTATAATTCATCATCGCAATCACTCAGTCATTATGAAAGGCAGTAAATAAAAGCCCTATGCTTCCACTGAGAATTTTTAAATTACTTCAGTTGTTCACAGACACTGGAAAGGTTTCACTTCCTTAGAAACTATGCACAGTCTGGCTAATGTGTAAACTGCTTTTTCTCTGAAACGTGCATTTTTTCAATTCCTTTACAGCATACACTTCCTTGTACAGTATTCTATAGCAAGATTTATGGTAAGTTTAATGTTTTATATCAAATCATAAACCTTTCAGACCTTTCACTACCCCATCAAATTCCATTGCCATATAAAAGGCGTATCACACACTCATTTTTTTTCCTCAGTTACTACCAAGTTTGACCATAAAACTCCACAAGCGCTGCTTTCCCCTTGATCAAAGATTTAATTCATCCTTAATATCTTACTACAAATACTTAACTTGATCAAGGTCACACAGTTCACTGCCCACAGACTTATCCACAGAAGCACCTTCACCCTTCTCCAAGCTCAGACAATCAAGGATAAGGTGTGACGTACGCCAAGGCTTTCAGCAGAGTGGGAGGCTGCTCCCACAACCCTACAGGCTTTTACAACCAAACATTGTAATTATTTCCACACACAGCCCTGATTGTGACACCCACCCGGGCTGCTGGGGTTCATGGAGAGGCAGCTCTCTGCCACAGGGTCCCTGGATGTGAAGTGATGAGGGAAAGAAAACCTCTCTGGTGCCTCCTGCATCACAAGGACCCAGGAGATCTCAGCCTGGGTAGAATGTTGGTTGAGACCAGCATGTCTACTTGTTTTACTACATATTACTGCAATCTGATGTGGAGATTCAATCCTGTAGTAGCAGGACCAAGGGCTCAAGGAGAGTCGTGGGGGCTGGAGAGATCAAAGGAGCTGCAGCCAAGGGAAGGATGGTTGGTGCAGGTATGGAAGGAGACTGAGAAGGAAGAGAATGGAGGGCTGCTGGGCTGTACAAGGAAGGATCAGCAGAAGTGCTGTTGGTAGAGGGAGGTCCTCCCCTAGCATCCTCCCTAGTAAAGAGTCTTCCTCTCCTTCTTCACTCCACTGGGGTATGGGTTCCCTGTAACCTTAGAGCTCACCATCAGTCTCCCTCTCTGACTCCACTCCATCCCAACCTCTTCTACTCCTCCCTCTGGGACCAAAGCAGACTGAAAGATGGGAAAGGCTCGCACCAGGCTCAGAGTAAGGAATGAGTAGTGTGGAGAAGGACTTCCTCTTACCATCCCCTCGTAGTAGTAACTAGGACCTAATATTCTTCTTGCTCATGGTCTCAAAGACGTGCAGGGAAGAGACAGTTTAGTCTATTTGAGCAACACTAGCTGATTCTTTTTCCTTCTGGCAATGGATAAATAAGCAATCCACTTCTCTTACTAATCTCTCTCTGCCATCTGTAACCTGCCACCATTAAACAGCCCCAAATTACATAGCTGGTGCTCTCTTACTTAGCCAAAGAAGTTCAGGGTCTTCGCTGCATGCTCTGGCAAACACAAACTGGGCCCTCAAGGAAAGAAGAGTGTGCAAATCCCTTTTGCTGGTCTGAGTGGGACAGGGAGTGTGACAGTCACTGCACTGACAGAGCTGAACCGTGTGCTTGTTCAGCTAATGATGGCAAACTGAATTGCCCCTCTTATTCATCAGACCGATGTTATTAAGCAGCAATGAGATCCACATTTCCAATTGAGGTGCCAGATTTTTGGCAGGGCTACTTTGAAGAGGCCCTTACACATTCTGCTCTGACTTCACCAAGAGAACCAGGTCTAAGGTAAAACACAGACATCTCAACTGAGGCACAAAACATGGCAAATAAAAGGAGCACTGCCTTGTTTTAGTCAAGTGCTTCACTTCTGTGGCCAATCCTGTTTATCCACAGTGAAAGGATAAAAACAACAGCCATTGACAGCCACCCATTGTGAGTGCCTCGTGGAACAAGTCTAAAGGCCTCAACACTCATTTCAGACCTTCATCCTTATTCTCATCAGTGTTATTTTGTGTTTTGAGATCCTGACTTCTGCTGTGGCAGTCCTTTTTTGCAAAAATGTCCTTAGCCAAGAGATCACCTCTACAAAAATATAATTTTCTAATGAAATAAGGGGGAAACACCTAAAGCTTTGAATTTCTACTGCACTACTATCGGTTTTATTTTTCATGTACACTGAACAATTCACACAAAGACTAGTGTTCATGTTATCTTAATCACTCACAGGTGTCAGGAGTACTTATTAAAAGAATTTTTGTTCTACACATAAATAGAAATGATTTCAGATCAAATGACTGCTTAAGTCTCTGACTTGAAGTTTAAATTTCATAATTGCATTTGACATTCTGAATCAAAAATTGAAAAGCAAGACCTAAACAGTCTTACAATAATGTTATTTTCATGTATTTATAATTATGACAAAGGCAGTCTCTTTCCTACTGAAAATGGTGCATCTCTGTTCTATTTCTGATAGAAGACTTAAACATATCCTTTCTGTATAAATAATTGTTTCAGTGGGAAAAGAAACAAAGACTTTACTCAGCAGTACGTCAAACCAGGGCTTGCAGCTTTGGTTTTTGTTATTTGTAAAATGGGCCCAAGGTCCATACTGACTGTAGATCATGGTATGTGTATGCATTTTCTTTACTTTCTCAGTTAGCATGTAGCTTACAATGTACAAAAAACCCTGTAATTTCTACCAAAACAGTGTTCAGATTGGTTTTCCAAGATGTGTAACAGGTGCTGAAGTCAGTAGCTTTAGAAAGAAGAAAAACGGTGTTATAAATAGCAATAGCAGCAATTTTTGCATGATAGCTCTTTCCTATGCTCAAAAGAGCTAGGAAAATTCGCATCCAGGTAGCTAAGTTTAGTACCAGATACTTTAGGTACCTGCTAAAATCTTTACACATTAATTACTGATCTACCTACTCCCATAATCATGTGAGAGGGAGTATGTTACTGTTCCACGCTTCTTCCCCCTCAATGGTCTCCTACTAAATGGATTCACTTTAATAACACACTGTTCAGTTTAAAAATGGAACATAACCTACAGCCTATCCCTGTCACTCAGCTCATTATTTTCCATTCTCACTTTTGCAAGACACTTTATAGTCAAATGCCCAGTCATTAAAAAAAAAAAAATTTAAGATGGAAAGTCCCAAATGTTATTTTCAATTATTTCTTTTGAGCAAAGCCCCACATTAGTAAAACAGTTTCACTCTCCATTTGATCATCCAGTCTAACCCAGAAGAGGCAAGAGATTTAACCCAGCTTCCTTTCCCTCCTCTGTTCCTCAAGTTATTTTACTTCCTTCTCAGGAGTAAAACTTAGGAAAAAATGGCAAGACCAAAGGCTGGATAAAATGTAGCCTATGCTTGAATATTCCAAACATACACCCTCATTTTTGTATGTATTCAATTCCACAGAGTATTTTCTATAATATAAATTAATTCCACTGTAGCTTTTAATTTGCTGTGAGGCTATTAAATTGAAAATTTTGACCCTGTGAAAAAAAGCAAATTTGCTTAGAAGTTACTAAAGTAAAAAGAAATTATAAGAAATTTGAAAAGCATTTGCATATTAAAACATTGAAAACACCCTATTTTTAGGTTCCTAATGGGAATAATTGTTACTAAGATACTGATTAATTTTCATGACCTGTTAAGACAGCACAATTATTTCAGAGATGAAGATAAATTTCCCATTACTGCTTTGTTCTTCTGTAATAACTTGGACCACTTAG